TTATCACATCCTTAAAACTTTAAATAGAAAACCCCTCTGGGGTGAAAGGTGCAATGTTCAAGGGCAAATCTGATGTAATTGAACTTGTTATGAAACCTCCCATATTTCCATCTACGCTAAAGACTGACTGTGAGTGTAAGTACCCCTCTCTCTCTCACCCCACAACTTCACCACAATTTGACACTGTAAAGTGGAGTGACTGTGCATTTGTAGACGAACGCAGCAGCCAATTTACATCCAGCAATGCTACAACAGCTATGAAATGAAAGACCAATTTTATCTGAGGTATGGTGAGCTAGGATATCCTGCCTCTAATTATTGAATTTTCCTGCGTATTGAATATTGACACATCTGACTTTATGACCAACATTATCACACATTCCTACAGGACTTTGTTGCCATTCTTTGAACCTAGACTGAAAAGCTTATTTCATTAAAATTACCCTATGGTTTTCTCTTACCCCAACCCAACTGAAAAGAAACTTCCCTGATTGAGAATGCTTATTCATAAGTTTAAGAAAACATTTCAATGCTAAGAAGAACTAAGTAGGAGACTTGTGGCTGATGAAGGGACTTCTGTATTTATTAATAGACTGCTTGTTAGCTTTCAAGATGACAAAGATTCCTACATCTAGTTAAAAATTTAGAAAGAGCGATTTGTTTTTTGTGGTTCCGAAAAACTGGCGTAAGTCGGAATTAACACGAATGTCTAATAAAATGCATACTTTAGTTTTTGCCTTAATCTTTACTTGCAGCAGGTCAAATTGCTAATCCCTCTCCCAATTTTTGAAAACTTGACAAAAATTTAAATGCGCTTATTTCAATAAAGTAATCTTAAGTCAAGATTTTGAAAATCATTGCGACATTTTTTCCACGTTTCCTCTTTAAGACTTTCTATTTCATCATATTTTTGCAATCCTTAAAGTATATAGAGTTCATTGCTTCAAAGGTTCCCTTTCAGTGTTTTGTACTTCTGCATAATGATCCCTACTGGATGTGGTGTTACTCAGTAATCTGTGGCTTTCCAATATCTCGTTCAAGATCCATCTCAAGACCTATCTCTTTGACAATACTTTTGGTCATCTTTACCCTCCCCCTAAAGGGATTATCAATGTTTTAGTGGTGGTGTGATTGCATGAAGGTGAATATTACAGCCAATTTGCACACAACAGTGTCCTACAAGCAGCCATAAAGGGAATAAGGCCTTATTTTCTTGTCGGCTTGAACCATCTGCTTCACAGAATATACTGTAAAGTGAATTGATTGTATATTTGTGGGCAAAACGTGGCAACCAATTGTGTACAGAAGTGTCCCACAAGCACTCGTGGATTGAAATGACCAATTTATTATTGTTTTTTTTTCTTGAGGGATTACTATCAGGCGTGTGGAGCAAGGAAACTTGGCCAAGGTATCACCCCAAGGTATTGTCTTGAGAAAAAAACAGATGATCAAACCAAAGGTGGAGATAAAACAGGAGAAAGAATGCAGAACACAATAGTAGTGGTCTAAGCAGAGGGGACATCTAATCATATTTGCATTAGGTATAACACCTCATCACATCAAAACTTCTCAAACAATGAGCTCCATTGCTTCATACGATGAATCACTTTGAAGCGTGGTCTCTTTATGTAGAAAACCACACCACCCAAACTTCTCCAGAAATGTCACACAAGCTGCACTGCAATGAATGGCCAATTAATTTGCTCTGTGGTGATTCAAATTAGGAATGATTATTGGCCAGTGCATGGGAAATGTTCCTTCTCTTCTTGGGAATCGCTCTGGGAATTCTTGACCCCCACCCACCTCGAACAGACAGACAGACAGAACAGTTCCTTATAATTTCCTTTTGTGTCTAGTCCAGAGTGCATTGGTTGAGCCTGTTTCAGTCCACTCTCACGGGATCAGAAAACAACTTGAGTGAACAATAAAAAGATTGTGTGCTGATATCCTTCCATTATACATTACTTAGTTAAACCAATTATGTCGGGACTTTGAACTCAGGCAGTCTAGAGTGACACACCAATATGCCCTGAGGGAGCCCTGAATGATTGGACGCACCAACCTTAGGATAAGACATTAAACCGAGGTCACGTCTGCCTGCTCAGGTGGTAGTCAAAGATCCTGTGGTGCTATTTGAAAAGAGAAGGGATTTTCTCCTGGTATCCTGGCTAAATAAAATTGATTGTTCACTTCATGGCTGTTTTGGGGGTCATTACACATTCCAGTAGAATCCTGTGAAGCCCTCCCAATGTGAAAGGTGCTGCATGAGATGCAACGATTATTATTATTTTACTGTATAACATGATAGTCTTTACCTCCCTGTATTTTGTAGCTCCTTGAATCAGCGCCAAAGTTGAAGTGTTGGCGAAGCGCTTCTGTCAGTATCAGACTGATAACTGATCCAAATTGGCCAACACTGTATTGATCTGTGAGATTTTATTTTCAATTAACTCGAGAAAAATAATTGTTTTGTATTTTCATTCAATATTAATTTACAATTAATCTGCATCTCGTTAACATTTGACAGCCTATTATTATATGCATGTTCTGCTTGGGTGCTGAAAGTGGAGAATTATTTCACAACCTCTTAATTAGGGGATATCAGCATGAACAGCATGATGCAAGAATCTAGGTTACATTTACTATAAATTGGTATTAAGACTATGTTTTTCAAGCAAGAATTGGGGCCTCAGAATGTAAAAGTACTCTCCCATTTCAACATCCCAAGCTGTAATCTGGACTGAAAGACCCTAGTAACATCGAGTAAAGGTTATCAGCAATCCTTCTACAAGCTGACAAACTATTCCATGACAAAACCAAATAAGTCTGATCAGCATGAGATGCAAACAAATAGAGCAAGAACAAATAAGATAAGAAATTCTATGGCACCCAACATTTATACAGCTCCTTTCATGTCCGGAGGACCTGTTAAAGTGCTTCAAACACCCTGGAGTCCCACCTGAGAGAAAAAAGCAACTGATTCCTGCAGTGAGGACTGAGTAATTATCTAAATTTTGGGGGGTCAGCCGGGTGTCTGACACACGCGGAAACCTATCACTATACTTAGTATCCAACCAAACTGAGAATTCCATGAGTTGTACCTAAACATGGAAATTCCAGAGGTATTTGTTGGAATGGAATGTGCACTGTCTCCCTAAAGGGATGCATCCTGCTTACCTAATTCCAGTAAGTATTAAGCGCAGGTTGGCAAGAGCCAAAGCTTGGGGACCGCAGAGTATGCGTTGGGGTACTGCTGGAGTCTAACCAGCTAAAACTACATAGTTTGCCAATGAGAGCACTGCCTGGCAGGTTTTGTTGCTGCTTGTCCAGCCGGGTGGGGGCGCAGAGTGTCATCGGCCAGGCATCTGACACACATGGAACCCATCACCATGTTTAAGAATATCTGGTTTGGATATTCTTAATGAAATGGGTCTCTGAGTGTATCAGACATCGGGTTGATCAAAAAGTGTTGAATTTGAATGCAAGAATGATTGATTCATTCAGTGGATGGTCAAGAAGGAAGGCCCATCAGTTTAGTATATCAATGAAAGTTGCTTAAGAGAAAATGTACTATCTTGTATAACACAGACCTGCCCATGCTCACGAATTGCCAGTGAATCTCTTTCATGGGAATTAATTATTGTCTACATAAAAAAAGCCAAAGAACAAGATGTCATTTTGATTCAATTTGGTACACAATATATTGCTGTTTCAATGATGTCATCTTGCAAACACTGGCAATGATTTGAGTAAATTATTGACAGCAGAAGAGAGATTTTCCAATTTAGAACCATTCCTTTTAACGGGAAGACTCTTCCTGGAAAACATACAGCAGTAGCAGTAAGCAAAAGAAAAAGAGACACCAACTTTTTTTTTAGGGATAATTCCACTGTACGCCAAACCTTAACCATTCCTTAATCTTTGGAGCCTAATGGCTGTCGCGAATGAGGTTCAAATGCCGGGGAGGAGGGGAGGGGAGGAGGTGTTGGGGCATCCTACCGACGTGAAAGGCGCTTATCAAATACTGTATAATTTGTCATCAAACTGAAACTTTAACAACAACAAATTACATTTGTTAAAGCGCCCTTTCACATCGGGAGGACGTCCCAAGGCGCTGGATTAACTCAATTTCCTCTCTCTCTCTCCATCGATGCTGCCTGACCTGCTGAATGTTCCCAGCAACTTCTGTTTTTATTTCAGATTTCCAGCATCTGAAGTATTTTTGCCTTTTGTATTTTGTGTTTTGTTTACCGTATATAACTTGTTGTTGTTGTTTTGTCTTCAAATCCCTCCACTCCTCTGCACCTCCCCCCCCCCCCCCATCTCTCTGACCTCCTCTGTCCTCACAACAGTACCCGGTGCCTTCGTTCCACCGGGTCTGGCCTCCTCCTCGTCCCCCCGAGCTCTCCGCTCCACCCTGGGCGGCCGTGCCCTTCAGCCACTACGCCCCGAGGCCCTGGAACTCCCTCCCTCACTCCCTTCGCCTCGCCCCCCCCCCCCCTTCCCACTTTCCGGTCCCGGCTGAAGACCTTTCTCCTCGAACCGCGCCTTCGGTCACCTCCCCCTCCCCCCCTGGCTCGGTCCCGGTGTTCCGGGATACTGCGAAGAAGCGCTCCGAGCCGCCGCCCGGCGCGGAGGGCGCTCTATGAATCCGAGTGGTTGTTGTCGTTGTCGCCGCCGTTGTGGTGGTGGTGGTTGTTGTTGTTGTTGTTGTTGGGGGGTGGGATGGGAGAGGCGGGCTTTAGGACCGGCGGTGAGGTGGGAGCGGGTCGCACGTGACGTCAGCAGCCCCTCCCCGCCCCACCCCTCGCCCCGCCCTCCCCACCTTTTTCCCCCCCCCCCAAACTCCTCCCACCTTCTGACGGCAGCAGCGCTCGGCCCGGAGTCCTCGCGCAAGGTGACGCAGGGTGGATGTGCGCATGCGTATCTGCGGCCGGGGATTGGGGGGGGCGGGGAGGATAAAGAGATGGCGCATGCGCCGTGGGGGATTATCCGGGTGCCGAGCGCGGACGGGGACGGCGTCCAACTGACAAACGCGGCGCGAGCGGCCGGTGGAGGCGCTGAGAGCGCGAGGCGAGGCTTTCCTCCTCCTCCTCCTCGGCTGTCAACCCCGTTCCCCTCACACGCCATCACTCCCCCGAGTGAGTGAGGGAGGGAGGGAGGGGAGTGAGGGAGTTATATACTTCTACAGCAGCTGCGGGGCGAGCCGGAGCCGGCGATGTTTTGAGCGCTGAAGGTGTGAGGTGACCCGGCGAGGAGGAGGAGGAGGAGGAAGGAGGACGGAAGGAAGGAAGGAAGGAGAGGGAAAGATGCATCTCCATCAGGTGCTGACCGGAGCTGTCAACCCCGGCGACAACTGCTACTCGGTCGGGGGAGTGTGCGACATCCCTTTTACGGTGAGTTTCTCTCGTTCTCGGGCTCTCCGGGTGTCTCTTGGGAGGGAAGGAGTGGAGAGAGAGAGAGATGAGAGGAGAGGAGTGGCTCCGGTGACTTTCTCTCTCTCTCTGCTCTCTCTTTCTTGCCCTCTTCTCACCTCAAAATGGAAGCCCCACCACCACCGTAGACAGACCGTGGCGATGGTGACAGCGAGCGGTACATATTGCTGTGGTATTTATTACCAGACCATGGATGATAAATATATATATATATATAGAGAGGAGAGAGAGAGAGATGAAGCCTATCGTCAGCGCCTCTTGTTTCACAGCAATGCGTTTAATGTGGGATGGGATCAATGGGGGGAGAGAGGTTTAGTCAAGTTATTTCATCTTTGAAGGTGTGTGTGTGTGTGTTGAGGGGGCGGCCAGACAGATGGCGATGGCGGGTTTGGTGCTTTGCGTGACAGCTGTAGGGCTTTAATTCTCCTCAGGCTGTGAGAGAGAGAGAGAGAGTGACCAGATCGAAGCAATGGAAGCGCAGTTGCTCAGCTGTTTTCACCCCCTCCCTCTCTCTTATCTCCCCCCCCCCCTCCCCCTCTCTCTCTTCTTCCCTCCCTCCCCTCTCTCTATCTCCCTCCCTCCCCTCCTCTTCTCCCTCCCCCCCTCTCTCTTATCTCCCCCCCTCCCTCTCTCTCTTCTTCCCTCCCTCCCCTCTCTCTTATCTCCCCCACCCCCTCCCCCTCTCTCTCTTCTTCCCTCCCTCCCCTCTCTCTCTTCTCCCCTCCCTCCCCTCTCTCCCTCCCTCCCCTCTCTCTTATCTCCCCCTCCCTCCCCTCTCTCTCTTCTTCCCTCCCTCCCTCTCTCTTATCTCCCCTCCCTCCCCTCTCTTCTTCTTCCCTCCCTACCCTCTCTCTTATCTCCCCCTCCCTCCCCTCTCTCTCTCTTCTCCCTCCCCCTCTCCCTCCCTCCCCTCTCTCTTATCTCCCCCCCCACACTCCCTCCCCCCTCTCTCTCCCTCCCTCCCTCCCTCCCCTCTCTCTTATCTCCTCCCCCCACACACACTCCCTCCCCCCCCTCTCTCTCTCTCCCCCCCTCTCTCTCTCTCCCTCTCCTTCCCTCCCTCCCCCCCTCTCTCTCTCTCTCTCTTGCTGCTGCTATGCGGGTCTCACATGACATTGGGTAAACCCATTTCGTGGGGCATCAGCAGCAATCGTGCAAATAACTGTTGCCCTTCGGTCTTCGGATTTGAATCTCTCTTTTTTTTCTCTCTCTCTCTCTCTCTCTCTCTCTCACACCCCAACCCCACCCCCCGAATTTGGGAAATGCAGCGAGACTTTAAATGGTCACCGTTGTTCAGGTTGCGTGATACCGACAAAAGGCTTTTCCGCTGATTGTTTTCCCGATCGCATTAATAAATAAATCATGGTGCTGAAACTGACGTCGGCGAACATTTTGCTCTACATTTTCCAACAGGTTCCAATAAGTTGCTCGTGTGTGTGTGTGGGTGGGGGGGTGGGGGGGAGCCATATTGGTGTCTGCAGCTTTGCCAAGTGATGACAGCACATTGAGCCGAACCGATGTACTGCAAAGAGTCTTTGCAAACGGTGGAAAGAGAGATTTATAATTCACTGCGAAAACACGAGTCCTTTGGTGGGCCATCTAAAATGGAACCAAACTCGGCTCTTTCGCAGTTGCCATCCTTCAGATGAGATGTTGAACCGAGGTCCTGTCTGCCTGTTCAGGTGGACATTAAAGATCCCATGGCACTATCCGAAAAGAAAAGGGAAGTTTCTCCCCACGTCCTGACCAACAATCCCCCAGATAAAATTTGATTATTCCCTTTTTGGCTATTTGTGGGACAATTGTGCTGCCTCGTTTGCCTACACAGTCAATCCATTTCACAGTAATTCCTGGGATGTCTTTTCGACAATACCAAATGCAAGGATTACTATTATTATTTTTATTATTATTTGTGGAGTCCTGTAGCTCAGTGGTTAGAGCACTCGCTTTGCAAGCGAGAGACCTGAGTTCAATTCCAGACAGGGCGAAACCTCGGGCAAGTTTCCTTACTCCACACACCTAATAATAATCCCTCCAAGACCCAAAACAATAATAAATTGGTCATTTTCAATCTATGACTGTTTGTGGGACATTGGCAGCCGCGTTCGCCCATAAATACACAGTCAATTCACTTTACAGTATATTCTGTGAAGCGCTTTGGGACGTCTAGAAGATGTGAAAAGCGCTATATCAAATGCAAGGATTATTTAAAGAAAAAGAACTTTACAATTGTGTATACTTTTACAGTGTGGTGCTCTCATTGCAAAATTATATTGGCAAATATCAGTTCCACTATCTTTTCCACCTCCCCATCCTGTAGGAAATTCTACAATTGGGGAAAACGTAACATGGGTAGGGGAAACCGTAGGACACTGGCCTTTGATTGGGTTTACTAAAAGCTCTTGGGAGAGTTGACCTGAATGAGAGCCAGTTGTTGATTTGTGTGCTCATGAATTTCTTGTTCATGTGTTGTATAACAATGCAGACCTATTGTTTACCTGTTCAGAAATACCTTTATCTTAATAGAAGTGTGCATGCAAACATTACAAATTTGATCTTTCCTCTCAACCTGAGAATATAAATTATTTTGAAAAATTACTTGTTTAACTTTATTCTTATAAATAAAAATTGACACTTGTTTGATGTGGCATTAAAGAGATGAGGTTTGTTAACCAATAAATGAACAACAATACGGTCGGACAAGTTTTTCCTGGTACTGCAGACCTGTTCAGTGTTGCCAACAGGTACAAAATCAGTAAAGCATGGCCTTCTCTTGGAGAATTTAACCCAAATAGAAATTGCAAGCATTTATACTTGGAAATAATTTTTGAAAATAGTTTTGTGGTATATTTGTTTACTCGCTTGGGTGTTCTGTACCCTTCCTGAAGCCCTAAGTGGGGTTTCCTTGGGACTGATCTGGCTCCAAGTTGACATGCCTGGCAATGGATGGTTGTATTCGAGCCAGCCCCCTGTGGCGGCCTCGGTAGTCCATTTCCTGAGCCAGGTGGGTTCACAGTATTCCAGGGCACTGCTGATGACAGCACAGCCAGCTTGGCTCTTCAGCAGTACCTGGAAGGGCAGACCAGTCACTAGGGGCAGGGAGTCAGCCCACTCAGCTCCTGTTAACCCTGCAAGCCGAAGCCCTAAAGGGTAGGGTGGTCCCCGCTGGGATGCTACCCTGCGTGGAGGACATTATATAAATGCAAGTTGTTGTTGTTGAACTGTATACAGCACTTTAGGTGCAATCTAACCGGAGCATTGTATAGCGGGCATGTTTCCTTACTCCACAAGACTCTTGTTTACCTAGCAGGAAGTAGGAACCTGGTTGTCAGTCGATTGGGGGAATCACATTCTGGGGGTAATAATCCCTTAACAAAAATTAACCCACGACTGTTTGTGGGACACTGTTGGGTGCAAATGACAGCGGCGTTTCGCTCACAAATCATACAGCCATTTCACTTTACAGTATATTTTGTGAAGCGCTTTGAGAACGTCCAAAAGACGTGATAAGGCACTGTATCAAATCCAAGGATTATTGTTATAATAATACTTTCCAGAATTAGGTATCACATTTATGTCACACTGACAGGCTCCTCCATTGCTAAGTGTTCTGAGACGCTACCCTGCGTGGAGGACGCTATATAAATGCAAGTTGTTGTTGTTGAACTATACACAGCACTTTAGGTGCAATCTAACCAGAGGATTGTACAATTTGAACATGACTTCGAGAGATGTAAACTTGACTGATTCGGTGATGTAGTCAGCATTCTGTTTGCTTTGTTTGTTGCTTCTTTTCGTACAGCTTGCGTGTGACCTTAGTGATTCAAAATTAAGCTGGTTCGGCAATGTCACTAATGCCATGCGTACTTTGTGTTTTTTGCTGTCTCGCACTGTTTCGATGTGGTGAGCGACAAGTTAACTAACCCCCCTCGGTTTCCTATTGTGCGCTGAAATGTCAATTACATCATGCTGGACTGTGCCAACAAATTGACTTGATGGGTAAAGCAAATTAAGTATGTACAGTTCAACTGAAATTAACTCTTGTTTCTTATAAACTGTAGCAAGTATGTTTATCATTGTACTGTTGACCTTGTTCAAGTTCATACCACATGGAACCTATTGAATCAGCAAAATTCTTATATAATGATAATGAGTCTCAAAATATGCCCACATCTGTATTTTTTAAAACAATGTATTGAGGACGCTTTTTACTGATAGCTAAAGGCTAATTTTGTGATCAGTATAAAATGGATCTTACAGTCTAACCTTTTTCATTCTAATGCACCACATTTTTTGTAAGTAAAATAATGGGTGTGGTTGTGCAGTATCATGGGATTGTGTCCATCCTAGTTGCTTTGAATGAAAGGTAGGATGTATTCTACTAAAAAAAGGTGCACATTTCAGTATTCCTGAAGTCTATTACTAACTGGAGGTTAAGTGTTACCGTTCATTCATTTCTATTGCTCGTTATAACAGCTAAATGTTCTTTTTTGATTGTGGGTCAGGGTTTTTTTTTGTATTTACAACTTCCCCCTTGATCATATGAACGTTTTCTTTAGCTAGGAGCCTTTTATGTATGGTTGGTTAACTTATTTCTTGTGGTTTCTATCTTCACTAGGCCTATGCTTCGGGATGTGATATTGTGATATTGGGAAGTGACTTTGAATGTGTTCAGATCATCCCAGGTGCTAAACATGGGAACATCCAAGTTGGCTGTGTGGAATGCTCACTCCAGCAAGGCAGAGTACGTTTCTTTTGATTACTTCGAGTGACACAATTAGCTGAAGAATTAGGTGGTTTAGGGGCTTTTAAAATATATTTATTTAATCTCTTGCTGCTGTTGTGCCTTGTAGGAAATCAGACAGAAATTTAAAATTAAACTCAATCAGATTTTCATTTTAAAATCTCATCAATTGAATAAATTATAATAAACCCAAAACTTTGTTCTTAGCACTTTGTTCTGTGCTTTTTCACATCAGTGATTACTTGCGAATAATTCAGAGTCACAAATAGTGAATCGTTCTGGTAACTAGAAGTGCATTATGTTGACCCGTCATGCTCCAATTTAGATCTTATTTGAATGCAGTTTCAGGAGTGTTAAAAGCAGTAATGAACATATTGTACCTTGTCCATCGGTACCTAAGGATTGGAGTTTGAGATTGGTGAAAACATTTTCAAGATTCTATTTAAAAATTCTAAAATCAAGCACTTTTGATTTCATTATTACAGTGCTAAATGCTGCCAAAATCCAGATTTAAATGTACGCTGAATTTTACATTGGGATGGAATATTTTGCTTTCCTGTCTGATTTTATTTAATGTTTACACACATGCTTACATGTGTAAATAAATACTCAGTTAAATTTCTCAGTAATGAATGATAGTGATCCCAGGAAAACTCCATGTTTACAGTTAAAATATAAATTTGATAATCCAGGTGCAAACGAACAACAAGAACAGCAGGAACGAAAGTGAGAACAAATTGGTATTTGATATTTTATACTGGAGTGATTAGTTTCATTACTGGGAAATTACATGAACTGTATATTATATATAATTCTAAATATTGACACGTTTCTGAGCTTTGTGAATACATTCAATTGTTTTGTCATTTTTAGATTGCTGCTTCTTATGGAAACACTGTTTGCATTTTTGAGCCAGTGCTCATAAGGCACAATAAGAGAAAAAGTGTAAGTTTTCACCACTATTTAATCTGTTAATTCTTTTAAGTGAAGTGAACTTTAATTTATGTTACGAGGTATATTTCCCTGTAGCAAGGTCACCTTAATGTTTCTACTTAGCTGAGGAATGCTTTTTCAACTCCATTGACGGTGACATGTCTGACTAGTCTTTTCTAAATGCAACCATCTCAGATGTTGAACCCTTTGTTTCAGGTTTAGCACACTTCATACGTTTCAGTGAACATGTGATGGTTATTAGTGCACTTAGCAGTTATGAAGCTATATTTATCATCTGGCCTGTTCCCTTCTCAGATGCTGTACTAGTTTGTTAGCCCCTGTTGGTTAGTAGGTAAATTCACAGTCACCTTTTGAATAACTGTTATTTTACAGAATCAAAATTTAGAGCTGAAAATAAAATATTTCATGTGCGCCAACTCTACATGACCTAAACATTTTTATGGATAACATTTGTGATCACCTGTTTAATTGATGAAGATACTTTTAAAATAGTCTAATTTATTTTCTTAACGATGTGTCACACTACAGCTTCTAAATTATCAATGGCAAAAGACGGGACAGTTTTTTCTCCAGTCCATTGCATACAACTTGGCCTGGGATCCGCAAGGTAAATTAGAGTATTAAGTTGCATTCAAGTGTTTACTAAAAAGAAGTTCAACCTTTTCTCAAATGCAATTCATCATTAATACATTTTAGTCTGTAGTCAGATTTCTTTTTTTGTGGGGTGGGGGCGGGGGGCGAATTATGGCAATTCCTGATAGAGGAATTGAATGAAGCGTCTATATTATGTTAAATTGTAGTTTAATGGGATGATTACCATTTTGTTTTTTTTATCAAAACTATCCAATCGTAGTTTTCAAATAATTTATGCTCCCAACGATGAAAGGCTGATCAAAACGTTTATTCAGTTTTGAGTTCTAAAAGTGTGAAAATATAAATGGGAAGGCTGGGGTCCACTCACTGTATTCATTTCAGCATTTCCTTTCCTTTTACAGGTAACCAGTTATTGACAGCTACAGATCGTCTGCAATTATGGTCACTTCCCTCTAATGATATTATTGAAGAAGAAGGGTGTTCTCCTGAGGAATATAAATTGCACCCGGATTTGAATGACTGGAAATGTATCTGGCAGTGCAAGTAAGTGAGCTTTTTGATACCTCTTAGACCTATGGGTTGAAATTCCACCTGGGTCGAGATTCACTCTCAGTAGCAATTTATAGAATCCAGAATTCTTAAATACACCGCTTTAATATTGAAGCAATTTTTGGGTAATTTTTTTAAGAGCTACAGAGTTATAAAGTTTAAGACTGAATTCAGCAATTCGCCAAATTCTGAACAACCCGAAACGTTCCATAAATAGAGCAAGACTAGACCCAGGTGGAATTTCAGCCTAATTGTTTGGAAAAAAAATTCTGAGCCCCAATGAGGGTCTCATGTCAAATTGTTTTATTGTGTTCAGGACTGCTATTCCAATCTATCTTATGAAGTGGTCTCCTGATGGGGAATACTTTTCAACAGCAGGAAAGGTAAAATCATGTAAACTCATTCATTCCCAATTTATCTTCATTTACATTTTAATTCAAATACACATTAGAAAATTAATTCCAAATCAATATTGCATCTGGTGGAAAGTAAATGTTTTAGATCTTTTGAAATTCCATTCTTATTTTGACATTTTATATCTGTGCTTTGCATTAGCCAATCTAATAAAAATGACCTTTTCCTCTGCAGGATGACTCGCTTCTGAAAGTCTGGTATCTTACAAGTGGCTGGAAGTCTGCAGTAGTAGGTTCGGAAATTCTTGACAAAAAACATACCTCTGCAACTGAACACTTTTCCTTTGTGTACCTGGCACATCCACGTGCTGTAACAGGATTTTCATGGCGTAAGACTAGTAAATACATGCCAAGGTTAGAAAAATGCTCAGTTATACCACTGTAACATTCAGGAATGACCAATGGAAGTTATAAAAAATAGATTTTTAACCAAAGTGGGTATGATAAAATGAGGAGGGTGAAGAGAAACTACTTGTACATGGTATTCTACAGTGTGTCTGACATGCAGTGTGTTCTGTCTGCAGGGGTTCAGTGTGCAATGTGCTGCTGACCTCATGCCAAGATGGGATCTGTCGACTTTGGGCTGAAACTTTATTGCCAGAAGATAATATTGTTGGGGGACAAATGACCGAGTCCACTATCAGCTCAAGCACTCATCTTTCCCATAGTGGAAGTCAGAAAGACAAGATCCAACATGCTCTGGAGGTAATTTCTGAAGGCACAAAAGGGTTGTTCTCGGGTTGTTTTTTTCTAAAATGGTTCATCTTATCTTGTTTTATGTCAGCCATTTTAATTGCTTTAATCTATTTTATAGACAATTCACCACTTGAAACATTTAAGAAGCCGTCGTCGTAGATCCTCTGTTCTGGCTTCCCACACAGAGATTTTGCCGAGCCAGCTTGGAACACATGATGTTCACAGACAGATTTCGCACCATGCAAATGCACTCTGCCACTTCCACATTGCATCAAGCATTAACCCTAACACAGGTTGGTATAGCAAAACTAATGTTTGTCGTTCTTCTGCTAAACAAAGTAATCAGAACTATTTGGATATTGCAAGTTTCATGAGACTATTTGAAAAAAAGAAGGGAGTGATAATTGTTTTACTTGCAGATATTCCTCCAGCCTTAGCTGGAACAGCTTTTAATATAGAAGAAGGAGGTGGAAGCTTTGTGGTTCACTGGCTGAATAATAAAGAATTGCACTTCACGTCTTCCATGGAAACATTCATGCAACATTTGAAAAAGCTCACCGATAACCAAATAGATGAGGAAGCTGACTTTGCCCGTCACAGTGGATTGGAAATGAAAATAGATATTGGTGAGAATACCAGCCATTCCATTCAAAATAACTTGTATGATGGAAGTCAATATTTAATATGATGAATTTGAATGTGTTGTATGTTTTAACTAATGTTGTAGTGTGTACAATATTTATGAATACTCTATGAATTGTATACCTTATTGAAAAAGATTAAATCAGAAAAAAGAATGAGAGTAAAGAGGCAATTGGTGTAAACTAGTCTTCTGAAACTCTTGTCTCTGTGAGCTAAATGAGTGGGTGTGTTTTTCAGTTCAGGCACTGTGTTGCTGGAAAACAGATTAAATATTATTTTAGCACACCTCCTCAAACATGATAATAGATTTATTATCCTAATATTAATCTTGAGTAAAATGCCAAAAATGAGAATGAAATGGGTAACTTTCTAGTATTCGAGGCTTAGTTCACATTGCGGGAGTGTCTTCGCCCAGGAGACCATCAACAGAATGAGATCAACAAAAAGCCATATAGTGAATGATCCATTTTATTTGGGGGATTGTTGGCCAGAACATATTTGGCTTCTGAGGGTATCAGGAAGTATGCAGAAATAGCAGGCAAATTACATTGAGTTACAGATCACATTTGATCTCGGAAAATGGCAGAGCAGGCTGGATGGGCTGAATGGCCTCCTCCTGCTCATTAGAAACTGTTTCAAAAGGTATGAATATAAAAGAAAACTTGATATTTTGCCACAATCTTCTGGAATGTATCATTTGCCTGTTTTATTATGTTCCAGAACAAGATGAAGTTTCAGAGAAAAGCTCAGAGCACGAGAATGAAGAGATGGAATGTGATGAGAGCACAAAAGCATCTACACCTCTCTCTGCAGGAATGCCAATGCCCACTCTGCTGCTCGACCGAAAAATTGAGACTCTTCACAATGAATGGAATAGAAATGCAGATATGCTGTTTACAATCCATCCCGTAGATGGTTCGTTTTTAGTCTGGCATGTGAAGTATTTAGATGAATACCATCCAGGAATTTTCAGACAAGTCCAGGTACAAATAATGTCAAACTTAGATTTTTTTGTATGTTTAAAATCAACACATCAGGAAACCAGTTTATTTGACAGTCCTATTTTTCCTTGATTTATATGATTGACCTAGATTTTGGCTAACTGATAATCCTGTCTTGAGTCTGAATATCTTGAGTGTTTGTATAAAATATGTCTGTTTGAAACTATCCAAATTGTCTTCACATTTTAGATTACGTTTTCATCACGGATTCCTGTTGCTTTTCCTACTGGTGACGCTAACTCACTAAGCAAAAATATCATGATGTATGCGTGCACAACCTCTATTAAAGAAGTCTGTACCGGAGGACATTTCACCAAGTTTAAAAGTTTTCCAGATAGTGACTCAAATGTCAAACCAGCGTCGCATCATATTGGTAGCTTAAAAATCAACCTCTTCATTCCATCAGTTATGATGATTTCAAAACACATCGATGGATCTCTGAACCAATGGGCAGTTACCTTTGCTGAAGAGTCAGCCTTCACCACGGTTTTAACAGTGTCACATAACTTCCGATATTGTGGACACCGCTTCCATCTGAACGATTTGGCTTGCCATTCAGTACTACCTTTGCTGTTAACCTCTTCCCATCACAATGCATTAATAACCCCTGAAGCTGACTCCATTGAAAAAGAAAATCGTGTAATCGAACCTGTCAGGTCCTTGAAAGGGCCAGTTACACAGCGAGTTAAAAATGCTGCTACCCGAACCTTTCATGATCCCAATGCAATCTATAGTGAATTGATCCTCTGGCGTATGGACCCAATAGGACCCTTGTCGTATTCTGGCGGAGTTTCCGAGCTGGCACGTATCAATTCCCTCCACACTTCAGCTTTTTCAAATGTAGCCTGGCTTCCAACGCTGATCCCCAGCTACTGCCTTGGTGAGTGTGATAAAAATCAGTTTGGAACATAGTTTCTAAATCAAATTAGTAGATTGTAGATTTGTAAATGCCAATCGCACTGTCATTTTATCAGGGTGGATTTGACGATAAAGGTAGTTTTCAAGTTTATTAAGAGAAGTTTCTCCATTATATTTAATGCACTTTTTATAAAACAGGTAACACAACTGGGAAATTGAAGGCAAATCCGAATCGTTGAGGCTTTTTTGTTTGAAGGTGTATGTACAAGTCACTAGATGGCATCCTATCAAGCTCACTGGGTGAAGTTTCAACACAAACTAACCAGATTTTATCAAAACCTCATCTAGTCTGATCTGCAGTGCAGCTGAATCAGAATAATGCTGCTCCTGATAACCAACTTGTTTGAGCAGTGATTGTGGGGTTTGGTCATGGGACAACAGCACAAGTTAGCAGATTGTATAACTGCATGATTAATTGTCTAACTCTAACTAACCTGATTTTCTCTACTTACTGATATTTGTATTCAGTGCATGCAGAAATTTCAGTGATTGTGAACATAATAGAGATGAAGGCTAGAAAAATTATGAACCTTAGCGGACGATCCTAATTTTCTGTTAGTTGTAAAATTCCTGTGATCTTCTACTATCAAGGTTCCTAAATCTGTAGAACGGAGCAAATTCATCGTGATATGTTACATTTTTGTGAACTATTTTAAGAGTTTTTAATTTGACTTTTAACAAAACATATGTTTGAAATTATACAAAGTTGTGTTGTGTTTTATTTTTAGGTACCTATTGCAACTCTGCTAGTGCTTGCTTTGTAGCTTCCGATGGTCAGAACCTCAGACTTTATCAGGCTGTGATTGATGCCAGAAAGCTTCTGGATGAACTTTCTGATCCTGAAATATCGGTAGGTTAACCTGCAACGAGTTAAACATACCATTATGGCCTTCACTTGTCTGATATAAAATGAAGCTTTTTTAAAAAAAAACTACAAATGTGTGTGTAGTGGGGGCGGGTCTGGTTATTTAAAGAATTGCTTAATTAACCATTTAGTGAAAAACTTAACTTGATTATTAAACTCTATTCAAAATTTGTACATCTTATCATAGAAACTTGTGGGTGAAGTATTCAACATCGTCAGTCAGCAGTCCACTGCTCGCCCAGGGTGCATCATTGAACTGGATGTAATAACAGCACAGGTTAGAAATTTGGGTTGGTGTGAAATTTTCACATTTTAAACCACTTCTTTAAGTACTTCATTTCTAATTGTTTGAATGGGTATTAATGCACATATCGATCAACTATGATGGTGTAAAAGTGCATTTACCACAGTATTTTATGAAGTGAATTCCATTTGGTAGTTTGCTCAGTTTATTTTATGTACTTGTCTGCTTTCAGTGTACATTTTGTTTTGTTTGTATTTGAAAACAAAGTTGTAGCTCTTAATCTAAATAACCCTCATGTTAGTAGTAAACTTCAGCAATTGCTATGTAGAATTACACAGAATGATACAGCACGGAAACAGGCCAATTTAGCACAACTAGTTGGTGCAATGTTTATATTCCACACAAGCCTCCTATTCACCTCCTGCTGTTTCTTTCTCCCGTGTATATGCATCAAGTTTCCTCTGTTGTATTTTTTTTTGCTTCAGCCACAGCTTCCGGCAGTGAGCTCCACTCTCACCCCTCTCTGTGTAAACAATTTCTTCTAATCTTCCTTTTACTAGCTATCATATTTATGACAGCTCACCAGTACATGGAAACAGCCTACTAATGTGCATCTTATTGAATCCTTTTGTAATCTTAAAATGCCTTTATCATGTTCCCTCTCTATCTCAAGAGAGAAAAGAAAGATTGTGTGGATTCATATTATGTTTTAAGACCTCTAGAAATGCCTTTAGTGTCATTTCTTACACACAAAGTTCTCAATCTTCTTTCAGTGTGGTTCAAACACGCAACTACTTCACGTGTTTCAAGAAGATTTCATTTTAGGGTACAAACCACAGAAAGAAGAAATGAATAAGGAGCAAGAATTTTCTGTTCCATCCGCACAAGGTATGTTGACTACTTGATTTCAATGAAAGGCACTTAACTGAATCCTTGTCCTGTTTATAACTGTTGTTGCTTTTTGAACTGTTTTCAGGATATCGGGCCCCATCGTTCTCTGAGAAGTTTTTTCTTGTGGTCATAGACAGAGACAAAAGGCAGTCTGTTCTTCACATGTGGCATCTCCATTTGAAATCTGTGCAACCTCGTGTTGGTAGGTGTTTTCAAATGCAGTGCAAAACTGATTTACAGATGTATTCAGCTTAAATGCAATTTCATAAAATTAACCACTATTGCGATTAGTCAAATGAGATCTCTGAAATTTAATTTGCAAGTTACGGATCTGTAACCCTTGAATTATCTTTTTATTCTTCACCAATTTTCTTCCCTCCTGAGGATGTTTGACTTTTTTTGTTTTACTGACAGCGATTGTCTTACCAAATCACCATTATTCTTGTGTGATGTTTGAGACACAGTATTTTAATGTTTCCCTTTTATTCTTCCATTTAAATTTAACATCACAGAAGTGAACACATCGGATAGCCAGCTTTCTGTACCAGAAGAAAACAACCTTGGAACAACCTTAAAAACAACTTCTGGTCTGACTCCTCTTCCACGCTCTGCATCAGTTGCTAATCTCCAGACTGCTAGCAAGCTGATACTTAGCTCCAAGTTAGTCTACAGCCAGCAGTTAAACCTGCCTGAGGGAGTAGAAGTAATCCGAGCTACCCCTTCTGCAGGTAAAGGCGGAACAGTTGCTCCTGGGATTTAATGTTAAGAATTCTACAGTTAAGAGGAGAGAAACTTCATCTGGGTCTAGACTTTGAATTTCTTTTGAAGCTGTTTTTTCTGTAGTTCTTCAAATAACATAACAGGAATCTGACTTCAGAATTAAGAATTGCCCAAAATGCTGAGAAGAAAAAAGTAAGTATAGACCTAGGTGAAATTTCTCCCCCAAGATCTTTTAACTTGTATGAATCCTTTGTTTTTTTATTCTTTGTTTGCTAAGTATATCAAGTTGTTAACTTGCAGAAAATCCCATTATAAAAGCATACTGACAAATTGAGCAGAATTTGGGAACTTAAGTCAGAAACCACAAACTTCTTCTTTAATCAGCAACTCGGTTTACTTTAACACAACACAAGAGGAACAAATTAAATTTAATTGTTTTTAAATTCAAACAGGAATGTTTGATTATATATATTTTTACTTTTATTGTTTAGGTCACTTGAGTTCATCGTCCATCTACCCAGTCTGCCTTGCACCCTACCTTATCGTGACCTCGTGCTCTGATGGTAAGGTGAGGTTTTGGCGTTGCAAGGTAGATACAAACTTGGAGGGTGACCACTTAAAGGAATCGCACACTTATCGGTGGGAAGCCTGGCCTCTGATGAATGAGGAAGGAGAACACAGTAACAGTGCAGTGAATGTGACTGGAAGACCAGTGGCTGTAAGCTGTTCATATACTGGCCGCCTGGCTGTAGCTTATAAACAGCCTGTTCAACTCAATGGTGTTACATCTGAAGAGTTTTCTATGCATGTTTCTATATTTGAGTGTGAATCGACAGGAGGTTCAGAATGGGTGTTGGAGCAAACCATTCATTTGGATGAATTAGGAAAGGTTGGAGGTGTCCTGGACTCTCGGGTTAGTGTAGATAGCAATTTATTTGTGTACAACAAGTCGGACATCTATCTTAACCAGGGCAACCACATGACTTCTAATATAAAACATTTAGTTCATTTGGACTGGGTGTCAAAAGAAGACGGTTCTCATGTTCTTACTGTTGGAGTTGGTTCGAAAATTCTCATGTATGGAAGACTATCGGGAATTCTAACTGAACAAGCCAGCAGCAAGGATGGAATGGCTGTTATTACATTGCCACTAGGGGGAAGCATTAAACAAGGAACCAAGTCAAAATGGGTATTGCTCAGATGTGTGGATTTGGTGTCTTCAGTGGATGGTACGCCGTCACTGCCAGTTTCTCTTTCCTGGGTGAGAGATGGCATCCTTGTGATTGGAATGGACTGTGAAATGCATGTATATGCTCAGTGGAAACATTCTTCAAGGCCGTTAAACGATTCTGAATGTGACAGCGTGTTATCACTCGACATGGGCTCGTCCGTGTTTGAGACTAAAATATTTCCCAAGAAGTACAGTGTTGTTGACGGGACAGCTGCTGCAGATGATGTATTTGGAGTCCCAGGCATGATTCAAGATGGTGGGCTGTTTGAAGCTGCTCATGTCCTGTCTCCTACCCTTCCTCAGTATCACCCCACTCAGCTGTTGGAGCTTATGGACTTGGGTAAGGTGCGCAGAGCTAAGGCAATTCTTTCCCATTTGGTTAAATGTATAGCTGGAGAAGTTGCAATTGTGAGGGATATAGACCCAGCTCAAGGAGGAGGGCCTAAACGTCACCTCTCTCGGACCATCAGTGTAAGTGGAAGTACAGCAAAGGACACAATTATAGCTGGAAGAGAAGGCACTCGTGATTATACTGAGATTGACTCCATTCCACCACTGCCACTTTATGCATTGCTGTCTGCCGATCAGGATACATCCTATAAAACTGCTGAGGAGAAAGCAAAAGTAAGAAAACGTTCACGAAGTCAAAGTAAAAGAGAACCAGAGGACCACTATGCTGACCTTTTCCAGACTCAGAGTGTAACCACTGATGATTTTATTGTCTTTGAAATTGAGAGGAAAGAAACTAAATCTAAAGTTATAAATTTGTCCCAATATGGACCAACATACTTTGGACCAGAACATGCCCGCTTACTTTCCAGTCACTTGATGCACTCCAGTTTGCCCGGACTTACACGATTGGAGCAGATGTTCCTTGTGGCTTTAGCTGATACAGTGGCTACCACGAGCACAGAGGTTAACGAAAACCAGGATAAAAATTACTCAGGTGTGTGTATCTTGACTTTCTGTGTTTTATTTTATGTTTTTTTCAGTACCAATAGTGCAATCCTACATAACTACTGTTGCAAAGGGAAAGTGGTTAGAATTACTTTTACTGTATAAGTAGTCTCATTGCTTAAGAAGTGTTAAAATGAAAGATTACAATGCAACAGATCCTATTGGCCACAAACTTAAAGCTATCAGTTTGGTTAAACGTCTATAGAAAGCTACTGTTTAAAAAATATAAAGTCTGATTTATTTACTGACCTTTGTTCCAGGAGCTGAAACTTTGGATGAATGTGGCCTGCGTTATTTACTTGCTATGCGCTTACATACATGCCTTCTGACATCACTGCCTCCAGTCTATAGAGTTCAACTTTTGCATCAAGGTATGTGTCTTGCATGAGGTCCCTTTGAACAGTTTACGATTTTGCTCTGCAGTACCTGTTTATATATTGTAAGTATATAATATAATCTTAGTATAAATATAATCTTAGTATAAGGTAGCTGTGGGACTTTCCCTTTTTCCTACTTCCTCGTTCCAAGTAGGGATTAATTCAAAACTATTATTTCACTAACCCATTTTACGCAATAGAAAAATCGTTCGTTTTAATTCCAGCATTTTTCAGAGGGTTATGGATTTCCAAATCCGGGCTGAAGTGGATTTTCTGCCTTCACTGGCAAGTCCTCGAGCAGATGGGAAGAGAAGAGAAAAGTTGGGAGAAACATCTCTCTTTAGCTGGTGATGGAAACAAAGATGCCCATATACCATCTTGTTACCCCACTTAAAGAAGGGAGAATAGATTTTTTTGTCTGAAATAAAAATGTTCTTGTACTTGGAGACAATTAACAAGAGTAAGGTGTCTTCTGATATTATTAATCGCAAAATGTTTCAAAAAGTTAACTTGTAGTTACAGTGGGATTTGTTTGTTTATTTTATGTTTCTTCCACACCTCCACAAGGCTGAGGGCTTTCTGGTACGTCGCCCAAGTGGCTATTCACATCCAAGTCCAATCAATTAGTATTAGACTAATGAACCATGGAAAGGGAAATCCTAAACTAGATCTGTAAAAGAAAATCAATCCTATTTTATATTGCATAGAATTAATTTCAGTTTGCCCTCAGGCTGTAGGCCATCACCCAGTGCAATAATTGGTCTAGTAATTCATAAATATTTATGCTTAACATGTTCTCAAATGTTTAAGTTGTTAATGAGATGTATAACCTGTTGTATTTAATAGGTTTGTCCACCTGCCACTTTGCCTGGGCCTTTTATTCAGAAGCTGAGGAAGAATTGCTCAATATGATTCCTGCAATGCAGAAAGGAGATCCTCAGTGGACTGAGCTGAAAGCAATGGGAGTGGGCTGGTGGGTTAGAAACATTAATACACTCCGCAAGAGCATTGAGAAGGTATGATAGCTCTAATTCTAGTTTAGTATAAAACTATGTAAAACTAGTTGGTCATTGTATTTGTTTTGATAACATGAAACTGCTATAAATTGAGAGGATGAATGGAGACTTTTTTCAGACTTTTTTCAAAACTATTTTCAGAATGTATAAGGAAAATTGTGTTCAAGGTATTTTAGTAACTTCACTAGTATAAGCCCAAGAGTTCCTATTCTCACCATAAACTAGGAATTGAACAGATTCCATTGTTCAAAGCAGAAAATGGAGAATAATAGACTATTAACATCAAAAATTGGAAACATTGGCAAGAGCCCCACTGCTCAAACCTACAGAAGCTAATGTGCTTGTATGGATTTGATGAGCCAAATCTGGAGTACAGATCTTTTGTTTTACCTCTCAAACCTCTCGAATAGTATGGCAGCAAAGTGAACTGTTTGCACAAATATGACGGGAAATATTTGAAAAAGTAATGATTTTTGTTTCCTTTTTGATGAAGGTTGCAAAAGCTGCTTTTCAAAGAAACAATGAACCATTAGATGCTGCATTGTTTTACCTTGCTATAAAGAAGAAAGCTGTATTGTGGGGCTTGTTCAGGTACGTTCAATATAATATGTTTCGTCGATTAAATTTGAATATCCTAAATTATTTTCAGTAAGTATCTAATTGTCCTGACTGGACAACAAAGAACTCCAACCAGAAACTTTCCATTGGAGAAATTGGGACTTTATATACCCCTTACCTTGGCAACTGTTGAATTTATAAGTTTATTTCCCAATGCGAAGTCACTGTTGCGTACATTCTTTTTTTTCAGATCTCAGAATGATAAAAAGATGACCGAGTTTTTCAGTCACAATTTCACTGAAGATAGATGGCGTAGAGCAGCTTTGAAAAATGCATTTGCGTTGCTGGGAAAACAGCGGTTTGAACAATCAGCAGCATTTTTCTTGTTGGCAGGTTCCTTAAAGGATGCTATTGAGGTAATGTTGCTTTATCTCGTTTAACTCATAGCTGTTTCATCTCAACATTACACCAAGGGCTCAATATATTTGGTTAATGTATTACAGTTGCACACGTTTTCTCTAACCTCTGTAGAACATAGATGATTATTTGAAAGAAGAAGATAAGTATTTTTTTAGCAACGTTCTGTTTCCCTCTTTCAGACGCCACTTGGCCTGTTGTGGATTATCAAGAATTTTGTTTTTGTTTCAGATTTCTAATTTCTGCAATTCTCTTTATATTTCTGCATAATACAATATTTTGTCATGCATTGACAGGTGTGTCTGGAGAAAATGGATGATATCCAGTTAGCCATGGTCATTGCTCGACTTTACGAATCCGACTATGAAACGTCATTCACTTGCAAATCCGTTCTTTATGAGAAGGTTCTTGGTTGTAAGCCAGATGGCTCTGAATTTGTACCTAGCCGACTACATCCAGATCCTTTCTTACGTAGCATTGCATACTGGATTTTGAAGGATTACTCCCGGGCACTGGATACTCTATTGGAACAGCCTACAAAGGACAGTGAGGACCATCCAGGTAAGGGGAATAGAAATGCAGTGTTTAAACTGAATCTTGTATTATGCTTTGTTTGCAGATTTAAATGTAATAGGCTGATTGAAGTAGAATTTCTGAGTAATGCTGGTGCCTTTACATGTTAGAGTGAAAGATTTAAAGTTTAGATTTGTGATGTATAATCATACAATGATCTTGCCTAGATAGTGTATACATGCTTTCTTCTTGTGTTCCAGGTATCATCATAAAGTCTTGCAATCCAGCAGTGTTCAGTTTTTATAATTATCTTCGTACTCATCCCTTGCTGATGCGCAGGCATTTTGTTTCACCAGAGGGCTCCTTGGCTCCTTTAGGACTAGCAGCAGAAAAAGGTGAAGATGAAATCAATCTCATGGAGAGAAAATTATTTTTCACAACCGCAAATGCCCATTTTAAAGTTGGTTGCCCTGTCTTAGCACTTGAGGTACTGTCTAAAATCCCAAAGGTAATGAAAATGTTTGAAACTGACACCTTAGATTTAACTAGCCAAGCCCCAAATGGTGCTGTAAGTGTAAATGAAGCAAAGCATGAAGAAAAAGCTGTGGATATTGGCTGGCCACAGACTGCAAGTGGTACATCTGCTCTGGACTGGACTACCAGTAGTTCTGATACACTGGACTGGGGTCAATCAGTGATAAAGGTAGCTGAAGAGCCTCTAAAGCTTGATTGGGAAGAGGATAAAGATGAATCAGAAGAGGATGATGGGTTGATCATGAAAGACAGTGAAATAGAGGAAAAAGCTGAAGGCAAGAAGAAACCTGAAACTCCTGGAGTTTCCCAGACTCTTCAGAAAGAGGATTCCAGCAGTTCTGCTAGCTTTCAGATTGACGTGATAGCCGAACAGTTAAAATTCAGAGCCTGCCTAAAGATTCTAATGACCGAGCTTAGGACGTTGGCTACAGGATATGAAGTAGATGGAGGAAAGCTCAGGTTCCAGTTGTACAACTGGCTAGAAAAGGAGATCTCTGCTATGCATCAAATCTGCAATTATAAAACGAACGGTAAAGACACTGCCGGGGAGATAAACGAAAGGCGCAGCAGCTCATTTGACCACGACATGGAATTGACTGAGAACATGGAAATAGCTTCTTACGAACGCCATCAGATTGATCGCCGAAGACTGCAAGCAAAGCAAGAACATGCAGAAAGGCGCAAGTGGTGGCTGCATAAAAATCAGGCTCTGCTTAGAGTGTTTATGAGCTACTGTAGCTTACATGGGGCTCAAGGAGGTGGCTTGGCCTCAGTCAGAATGGAACTTATCTTCTTATTACAAGAATCGCAACAGGTAAAGTGTGGAGTACATAATAAATAATCCCTGCAATTCATATAGCACCTTTTCACATTGTTTGAAATAAAGCGCTTCGCAGGATTTTGGTGTAAAGATTAGGGATTATTGTCGTCAAATTTAGCAGCAAATCTGCTCCACAAATAGCCAAGAGGTGAATGACCATTTTTTAAATCTGGGGTATTGTTGGCCAGGACACTGGGCAAAAAATCCATTATTTTTGAATACTGCCACAGGATCCTGAACATCCAGTTGTTCAGGCAAACAAGACTTCAGTTTAAAGTCTGGTCCAGAGGATGTCTTCTCCAAAAGTGCAGAATTTCCCCAACACTGCATTGGAGTATCAGCCTAGCCCGGGAGCTCAAAGTCCTGACATATATTTGCCATTAAATGTCTGTCACACTTGTACAGTTAAAACAAATTACTAAATAAATTAGTGGTAGAGGAACACTACTTCACCAGCTTGATTTCTGCATCATGAGCAAGTTTACCCAATGTGAAAGGCGCGATACAAATGTAATTTTGTATTGTACCCAAAAGCTTTTTACCGGTTAGAATTGTAATGATAATGCATTAAAGGGATTGGAACAGTTTACCCTAATACTGTTTTTAACCCATCTGTTAGGAAACTACTGTGAAACAGCTTCAGTCTCCTCTTCCTTTACCTACAACTTTGCCCCTGCTTTCTGCAAGCATCGCTCCAACGAAAACTGTTATAGCCAATCCAGTCATGCATTTGAGTAACTACATCCACGATATCTTGCACACAGTGGTACAGATGAGTTGCCCGCCTATTCCGGATCATAGGGATGAAAAGGTAACAAATTGTCTTAAAATCAGATTTGTCTGGCTGCACTGAGGATTTGAGTACGCTAGATGAATTGAGCACAAAGGCTGCAGTAGAGACTGTGGAGTGCAGTTGGCTGCTGCCGTCCACTGGTACCTGGGTTCAAATTCAACCCAGGTTGTAGAGATGAGCTCCCTCATTGTGTTAACTACAAGAGTCCAAAGTCATTTGGAAGGAATCTCAACCCACTTCTACAGCAAAAATTGACATTTGCAGTTTGAGAGGCCGTAAATCTGAAAAGCTCTGGGTCTAAGGAGTCACATGACTGAGGTTATAAGGAAGGCTAATATAAGAACCACAAATTTATTTTATCGTAGAGTATTAATGAACTACTTAATTTTTTATCAAATTAATATTGCATGAACTGCTGAATAGATGAGATACAGACCCTACTTGTTATGTTTTTCCCTTTTATTAATTTTGATTGCATGTGCTTCCTTTATCAGGTTTCTACTCTGCATACTTTGGCAGCCTCCCTCTCTGCCTGTATTTACCAGTCTCTATGTGACAGTCATAGCTACAGGTAAAATATTTCACTCTTATTTCAATTAAATTAAAAAGAGCTTATTGATTTCACCCGCCTTAAATCATGGCTTTCTTTTGCAGTCAAACTGATACAAACAGGTTTACAGGAATGGTGTATCAGGGACTTTTATTGGGTGAACGACGTAGACTGCGGACTGAAAGCATTGATGAGCACGTGACCCCAAACTCTGTACCTGCGTTATGGCCTGGTAAGATGGAGCAGTGTAACATAGCAACATATTCTCCAGAGCTTGCTCTATTCTATTTTAAAACTGAGGTACATATGAGCAAAGTGAAAGTTGCTCTAGTCTTATTTTTGGCAGGATTTAAAGATTTAACTTTTGACATAGTTGACTGTTGATTTGGAAAAAATAATCTGCTGGAGGATTAGGAAATATTCACTATCTCCTGCTTGTGAGATTCAAACAGTTACAATGCCAGTACCAGCATTTACCTGCATTTTTTCAGCCACTGGTCTGGCCAGCCGAATGTATTTAATTCCTGCTGCACACAATACCAGTCTTCTGGTTCTACTCGGAAGCTGCCAATACATTATGTATATTTTTGAAATTTATCACTCAAGCTACAAAATTCCTGTAGGGTTAGTAAAGTATACATTTTGTTGGTTGCAGGTGTCACATCACTGATCAATCTCCTGGCAACAGCTCGGGATGAAGATCAGCCAAAATTGAACGTGATGCTTTGTGAGGCTGTGGTTGCTGTGTATCTAAGTTTACTGATCCATGGTATTGCTACCCATGCCAGCAACGAGCTGTTTCGATTAGCCGCTCATCCACTGAACAATCGCACATGGGCTGCAGTTTTTGGAGGTGGTGTGAAGATTATAATAAAGCCTAAGAAACTTCCAGAAGTTACCCCAGGTATGTCATTTTCTTGGGGAAAAAGTAAATCTAGATTTTAAATCGGCGATTTAGATATTTTTGTGCATCAGGGTCTGAATTAATATATTTTTATACAGTGAAAAAGTTTAAAGCTCGCCATTTTGTATTTTATTTAAAAAGTAATTTATTTCAGCTGTATCACAGTTGGAGCAAAATGCTTCCTTGAAGACAGAACCAGTGTCTGTGCCTCTGTCTGTGAGTTGTGAGACTCAGGCAAAACATTCACCAGGCCTTGGTGGTGAGTGGAAATGTTGCCATTTGCTGTGGAAATTTGTGTGGGTTTTTTTCCTAGATGTGTTCATCTATTCCTGCCTGGTGTGTTCCCTTCCCACTTCAGAAATCAATCCATAAATTGTCAGTGTGTTTACTGCGTTCCTCTGAACAGTTCCTCCAGTTCCCCCTGAGGACGTTGACCGATATCGGAGGAGATTCAACATGAAAATGCTGGTTCCCGGGAGACCTGTGAAGGAAACTTCAGCCCCACCACCTGTGCCCACCGAGCGACCTTCATACAAAGAGAAGTTCATTCCTCCGGAGCTCAGTATGTGGGATTATTTTGTAGCCAAGGTAAAATAGTTTTTCTAATTGCAGTTTATTAAACAGTTAATATTTTTAATTTACTCGCAATGAGACTGTGAATGATAGCAGCCTATCCAACTCAGCTTGAATTAAGCCTCCTATTGCTCACAGCTGTACAGAAATTCCTGTTTCCATGGACCTCTGATTTTGTACATTTTCAGCTTGTGCACCATGATGCTGAAGAAATTACTTTTATTAGTAATCAAGCCGTCTAAGTATCCAGAGAGCTTTAATATTAACCTTAAATAAACATTAGGAATTTGGTGTATAAAACATTTCTTGTTGCATCCCTTTTTCCTTGCATTATTTCTTCCCTGCTTTTTCTAAAACTTTATTTTATTCTTCTCTAAATATCCAGACAGGTATATCTGTAACATTGTAGAGCAAAGACATACATTTAGTATAGTAGGTTTTTGCCAAGAAAATGAAACTTCTAACGTTTGTTTAATCCATCGATGTGGATTTCTTTTTAAAGCCATTCCTGCCTCCATCTGACAGTGGAGCAATGTACGACTCAGACGACAGTATCCCTAGTGATGATGATGAAGATGATGATGATGCATTTGTTTCTGATATTCAGCTACAAGAACATTCGGATCCTAACTCTTACAGGTTCATTGATTGATTATTTCATGCAGTTTTTAAGTTTCTTCATGTAACTAGCCAACAGGCAGCAATTGTTGTAACCAGTTACAGAATTCTAAAAGCATAACGACTTAGCATAAATGTCTGCATACAAAATTTAAGGCTTAGGCAATTTGTTTTTTAAGATGTTTACTTTTTCGTTAAATGTATGTATTCCACTGAATTTTTTTTTTCTTTTGCACTCATTCACAGTTGGTCTCTGATGCGTTTAGCAATGGTTAAGCTTGCATTGCACAATGTGAAAAACTTCTTTCCTGTTGCGGGGTTGGAGTTCTCAGGTACAGTACTTGTGCTATTGCCATTGCACAATACACAAAAAAAACTTGTAAATTGATGAGCAAAAAATCCACTAGAATAAGTGGAGCGAAATCAGAAAATATGGATTTTAAAATAAGGATTTTAAAAATGTAAGCGGTTCCCCTCCTTTGAAGCTACAAAATACTTGATTAAATTTTCATCTCTTTAATGACCGGAGCATTTTTTCAAATTACTGCTGAGCCGTTAATGATTTAAAGCCATTGGTATCTGGTTTCAATCTTATATAAATCTAAATATACTTCCACTGAACTGTTAAGATTGTTCATTACTTTTATGCATTTTAAATCGCCTACTTAAAGAGCTTAAGCTGACCTTTCTGTTTCACAACACCAGCAATAATTGAAATCCACATAGAGAACTGAATTGTACTTGATGCAAAGTAACTATATTTAGAGTTTTTGGAAACGAGTGATTATTTTAGTGAGCAAAATTAGTTTGAAAAACAGCTGCAAATTTGAATGTTTATTTCTCCAACTAATTGCCTTTGACCTGCAACAGATCTGCCAGTAACCTCGCCTTTGGGAAACGCTGTTCTTAAAACCTTGGAAAACTGGCAACATTTACTTCAAGCAAAAATAGAGCAGCTTGAAGGGCCACCTCCAAACTATATTAACACCTATCCCAGTGACCTGGCAGCATCAGGTGGACCAGCCATTCTGAGACACAAAGCAATGCTTGAACCAGACAACACCCCATTCAAGTAAGGAAACTACAGTCGAGGAAAAGAAAGTTCCAATTTCGAACAACTTTTTAAAAAGTGGGAGACGATTCCTTATAATTCTCTCATTATTCATGACATCAGAGTTTTATCTGGTCAATATTTCAGTGGAATAGTAACGATCACCCAATCAGCGATTGCTTAATATTATAGCTATTTTATTCAATTAAAATGATTTGAATTTGCTTTAGTTATAAATATACTGTTTAAGGTTGCATTTAATTGTTTTATCTTTTGATCTAGGTCAAGACTTAGTTCCACTCTTCCTGTTAAACGGTTGTGGTACTTCTTGGTGAAACAAGAAATTCTGCAAGATACATTTATAAGATTTATATTCACGAAGAAGAGAAGGCAAAGTGAGGTAAGTGGGTGGGTGTGGACAAGAGAGATGTTACATATCTTGTATGTATGTAACTTTAGCATTTTGAACGTAACTATTTCACAAGTAATTGGCATTTTACAGCTTAACGCAAATTATTTGCATGGTATTTTTAAAATAATGTATTAAAATAAAGTGAAACAGTGCATTAACTAATAGCTACAGTGTAAGCATGCATTTGAACTTAAATATTTAGTGGTTGATTTGCTTTAAACTTTTCAAATCATGTTATACTTGAAAATCAGAAAAGGCATAAAAATTGCAAATAGTAAATTCATGCTTAACTAACAGACTCTGCACATTTTACTCATTTACTAACAGAATAGCTACTATCCACTGACAAAGCCAAATTCATCTTAGATTAGATGGGCAAAGTAGTCTCCTATGATATAAGTGTTATGATTCTACAGATGAGAGGAGAAAATTTAAAAATAAATATTGTATTGGGTAATTCTCAGTATCAGTTGTTTGTGGCAAATATTTAACGGTTCAGAAGTCTAACTTTATATTACATGTCGACCAACTTTGAATCCCACCTAGTTTAAGCCAGTAAAGTCTTGTCAAGTGCTTCTTCACAAATAGGTTTTGATTTGGTTTAATACCATAAAAATGTCTGCAGTACTTGTAGTGCATTTCCATAGCTTGATTAAGTTAACCACATCATCAGTCTTATTGTTTGGCTCCTTATTTTTTGGTCCTGGCAGCATTGTTTTTGAAACTTGTTTATTAAATTCTGAGTTTGGATTTTAATGCAGAAACCAGTCTTTGATTCTCTGAATTTAACAATAGATTTTTTTCTGCTTGCCAAATATGAGAAGTATGGCTTTTAATACAAGTTCCTAAACAGACTGATGTCATGTGTCACTCTCCTTTTTTTCTCCTGTTTAAAGGATGAGGGGGAATCTAGTTATTCGGAGGAAGGTACATACTGGGATTGTTTCTCAAAGTCCTTCTGGTCTCCAACAATGTTGCGCGTTCCAGGAAATGAGAATATTTTAGTGTACAAGAAATTTGGGGAGCATTTTTATCATTACAAGATTCTAAAGTGTTTGCAAACCAAAATAGTTGTGATCCAGTATTTGCCTGAGATGTCTGGGTACCTTTTTTCATCTACAATAATAATGAGGCCTTTCCTCAAGCTTCTGGAACCTAGTGCTAAAGGATCTGTCAAGCATTGGCCTTCATTTCCAGCAAATTAACTTTGATTTTTTTTTCCATATAATCAAACCCTTTTCTGTTTACTGGCATTAAATTTCCAATTCTGCAAGTCCAACCAGCTGCATTTGTTGCTTATCTGATTGTGAGCTAAGCTGGAGATTTAAGGATGGTTAAGTCTCCTCTACTTTGAATAAGGGTATCCTATTTAGACTGCTTTATCAATTCCCCATGGAGATCAGGATGTGGGACTCTTGACTTGTTTATTTTCTTGTTTGTCCCTTCCCCAATGCAATAATTTCAGAACAAAGCTCTTCGAGTAGCTTGATTATATAAATGTAATCCTGTTGTTGAGTGCTGCTCTGGGCCTCTTATATTCCCACACTTACAAACTTTAGGGTGTTTGTAGTGAGCATTGTTTTGTATGTCCACACCTGGTTCTAATTGTGACAAACCCATCTCCTCAATTTACTCTTGAAAGGCTAAGTGATTTGACCCGCAATGTCTCAATCGATTTTTCTTTTGGGTAAGCAGAATGTACTGAAATCTATTGATGTATACAGCGAAGATAACATGAGAATTTGAAATTATAAGTCATAAATTGATTCCATTTTCTGAATGCAGTGAAGGAATTGGTTATGCTGCCAGGATTTCATCTTTTTTATTCAATTAAAAAAGATCTTTATTCATTTTTGTGTTTGTTTTTTTCATTTCTGTGCATGTGTAATGTGCTGTGACTGTGTGCTGTGTTGTGTAGTCATTAGAAGACCATGTGGATCAAGTCAAACCAAACTACGTAGCAGAGCATCATGGCAACCACAAGGTAGTATCCCTTATCCCATCCCCTCCTCTTTAGCAGCTGATGTGAATGCACTGACTTGAACATTTTGTTTAATGGCGGGACACAGTAACTTATTCTGGATGCAAAGTTAAATCTCGTGGATGTAAGCGTGACACTTTATGTCCAGGAATGCAAGCAAACCTTCTTAAGGCTTAAAACCATTAAACAAATATTAAGTCCAGTGAAGTTTTTTTTCATTTCTTTTGCGTGTTCATTTTCATTTTAAATGAAAACTTAAACTGGATTGGTACAGAACTGTTTTACGGTTGATGTAGAACACTACTTAAGTCGCATACAATTCTATATTAGGTGGAAGCAGACTTGGGCTACCCAAGTGGAAAGGCCAAGATTATCCATAAGGACTCCGATGCCATAATGGCATTTGCTATCAATAAGGTAAGAAGCTAAGTGGCTTGTAAATCCTATTTACTTATTTCTCCTCGGATTGTATAGAAGCGACTTGGGACATCTTCTCGAAGTGAAAGGCGCTATACAAATGTAATTTGTCGTTGTTGTACTTTAATAATTTTGTGTTACTTTTAATAATAATTTTTTCAGGTTTCCTTGATAGCATAATGGCTAAATGCACAGTCAAGGAAACTAAAAGGCAACAGATTTGAATCCTGGTCTGCACTGAGGTTGCTTATCTCAGCAGGGTTGGCAGTAGAGGTGCTACAATTGGAATCTGTTCAATACTCCTGTATTGAAGAGGGGAATATCAAGAAGGAATGTGTGTGTGATTGTATTGGGGATGCTATCGTTTTTTAAATTGTGTAAAATTTAACTTTCTTCTTTTTGAATCTTAAAAGGCAAATACGAATGAGATGGTTTTAGCTTCTACTCATGATGTACAGGAACTTGATGTATCTGCTCTCCTCGCTGCTCAATCATATACATGGATTGGTGAAGATTCAGACAGGGAGTCCAGAAGGTATTAACTTTTATTGAACCCATCCTGGAATTTTTAAGTATATCTATGCATTGTCTTTTGAGTAATGCAAATAAATGTACTCTCATTCTAGTTCAGATGATCTAGAGCATAGACCTTCCTCGGGAAGCGCTAGCCAAACAAGTACACCACATTTTGGATCTGGTCATCTTTCAACTTCCTCTTCCATGCCTTGGCTGGGAAGTGGGCAAACCAGTACAGGAGCTACTGTGGTATGTTCCAAATTTTGGATGAGTGTGATCATCCCAATGACTATCATTAGTTAAGTCTTATTAGTGACCTTTACTCCTATCAGAATTTCAGGCTCGTTAACTATTTTCTTTAAAAGGAAGACTAAATGCAGTACTGGGGGTGTGCTGCATTATCGGAGGTGCTGTCCTTTGGGTGAGGTGTTAAACCGAGGGCTTGATTTATGGCATGGATCAAGAAATATACAATCAAGAAAGTTTATTTTGTTGGCCGACCATAAAGGTTGAGCACCACTGCCTTAAACCATGGTCCCGCCTGCCTGTTCAGGTGGCACTACTCGAAAAGAGAATTTCTCCCAGTGTTCTTGCCAACAATCCCCCAAATAAAGTTGGTCACTGACTGTTTGCGGGACATTGCATAATTGGCTGCTGCATTTCACCCACAAAATACAGAGTCATTCCACTTTACAGGATATCCTTTGAAGCTCTTGGAGACTTCTCAACAACGCAATAAGGCACCAAATCAAATGCAAGGCTTTTGTAATTGTGTCCACTAAAAAGGAAATTTATAAGAATGTCAATTGAAAGAAATCCCTGTATAATTGCACTCTGTCATTTTCTTGAACTGATCTTACTGAATTTCTGATGTTTCCATAGTAAGGCTTCTTCCCCCTTTTCCTTTTATGTAGCTCATAAAGAGAAACCTGAACAATGTGAAAAGGATGACTTCGCACCCGGTTCATCAGTATTGTAAGTCCTGATTTCTTTTTCTCTTAGTTTATGTCAGTGACGATGCCCATCGCAATGCACAATCACCTGATAAACTTTCCATATCACACCACAGTTTCAAGTATACTTTTAATCCCTTGCAGTGTTTTTGTAACTGTAACAAGTAATGACATTTCTGCCATACTATCAAAATATACATGAGGTTTCTCCAATAGATCTGCATGCATGCATGCATAAATAAATAAAAAAAACATATAATAATGGCATATATATTATATACAATGGCAAGTTATATATTATATATAGTATACATTATATATATATTAGATATAATATATTAGATATAATATATACAATATATTATATATATAACCTGCCATTATGCACCAAAGTACATTTTAAAAGTAAGTAAAATGTCTACATATTTCAGCAACCAACAATTTATTGTTTGCAATTGTGTCATTCAGATCTTACAGGTGCACAGGATGGAAGTGTGCGGATGTTTGAATGGAATCGCCCTCAACAGGTTATATGTTTCCGTCAAGCTGGCAACGCTCGGGTTACTCGACTACATTTCAATTCCCAAGGCAATAAGGTTTGTACTTAATTCAACGTTTTTAAAGTTCAAAGTTTATTCTAAGCTTAACAATATATAAAGCATGGGACAAAAATAAAGCCATGCAGTTCATCAAGCCCATTGCTTTTACTGATACATTTGCTTCATGTTCGGATCTGGGAGAGCTTTCTGCAATATGTTTTCTTGGCATTCAAAGCTGCTTGACCTGAAATGAGAGTATTTTTTCTGACCTTACAACCTATATTATGCAGATATGACTGTCTGAATTCCACAGCTGTCATGCCTGTGTTGCCAGCTGCAAAGGAATATTCAATCAGCCCTGTCTACACCTATCCTTGTTTGTTCCTAACCAGGTTTTTATCTAATCATTCCTACATCATCATGATATTAGTTGCTTTTGCTGGGAGTCTACCCACATGTCTGTTATGGTAGCGGAGGGAGTAATGTTTGAGTAGAATATGAATGTATAATGTGCAGTTTCTGTAAGATGTCTCTGATTCTCTTATGAAAGAGTTTTATTTTCTCACGACAGTTGGGGGTCGCAGATGGAGAAGGATTTCTGAGCCTTTGGCAGGTCAATCAAACTGGATCAAACCCTAAACCATATCTGGTATGGAATACAGCTAGTACATGGCACACAATTATTCACTGTTGCTATAAATACCTACTTTCTTTGTGTTGTAGACAGGTCAAGAGCATGTTCAGTCTGTCTTAAGTGCATTATATAGATGAGCTAAAACTATATCTTCTGCCAAAAGTACAGATTACATTTGTTATGTCGTTGAGAGCTTCAGGGACGTAGATCATAATAGTAATTTGTAGCAGTTTGAACCATCACCCATGAAGAAAGAACACAAAGTTTGTTAAATGAGAGCCAAGGATAATACTGTCATTATATCTCTGGTGGGATGTTGCCTAGGTATGCTAATGGTTATGATTTGTTTTGTTAACAGAACTGGCAGTGCCACAGTAAAGCTACCGGTGACTTTGCGTTCATCACCTGTTCGAGCCTCGTAGCCACAGCTGGGCAATCTAATGACAACAGGTATAGACAACTGTAATGATGAGGACACAAGAAGCTTAAGAAAGCCATGTTCCTCAGAATGATCGTAAATATATTTTCAACCCAATGCACCAATTGTGAAGTTTAGTGTACTTATAAAGGTGGATCTCATTAACACAGTATATCTCAAGTATAGCATGACTGTTTTGGGTTTTCAGTTTAAGAATTAAAATATTCCCCATTTTACAAATAACTTCTAGATTTTACAAATTATTAAGCAACTATGTTTTGCCGTAGGAGGTATTGCTGTTGAGTTTTGTGTCGTATTAAGCCCAGAAGGCTTCGTTTTGGCAGTGTTATGAGAGAGTTAGCTTCTCCAGCTCTCTTGCATCATACAAAGCCCTTCATTGTTTTCGACATCTTAGTAGAACATAATGATGCAGTTTGTGATAATGGGGAGGAGGTGAACTCCACCTCCTCCGGTGCTAAACTCTTCATCACATTGGGAGTGCGAGGGACTCGGCAATTGAACCAGTGTGGCATAGATTTCAGTTTAGGCATGTACTGCAGCAGTAGGGGAGAGAGGAGCCCTCATTTTTTAGGACTAGAAATCAAATGATATATCTGCCAACATCTGCCTGAAACCATATAACCCATAAATCAAGCAATCAATAAATTGTTTGCTGTCTTTGTATTCCCATTGGAAATCATGCAAAGCGCTAATTCCCTCTCATATCTATAGCATAATATTGTTTGTCTATAACTGGCATTCTGTTTGTTCCAGAAATGTATGCCTGTGGGACACACTGATTTCACCACACAACAGTCTTGTGCATGGTAAGGTCACTATCCATACGAGCAGTTTAGATAATAATAATGCAAATAGCAATTTTCTATTTTTTTATGATACAGAAATTGTGCCAAATACATAAATAGTTAATTTTACTCTTTCTGGAAAAGTAACGCAGAACATTTGTCTTTAAAAGAGCTTGGTTTTAACGTGCATCTAGTGTCATACAACAACTTTCAAAAAAAATGTTGATCTGTATGTGCAAATATTTTCATTGACCTACACCCGGAAGGCTTGGCAAATCCAGTTTCCTTACATCCACTGTTACGAAGCTAGCTGTACTTGTGTATACCTCTCCCATTAAAGCAATCGATATTCCCGACACTCAAAATGTGATGATTAAAATGCATTGGTACAACTTGATCCAATTTAATATGTCTGCTTATTTGGTCAAGCAGCATTTAAACCAAATGTCCATCCAGTGAAGTTGAGTGAAGACAAACAAACTCAATAGAAATGTTTTCGTTGTCAGTTTTTTTTCCTGATCTTTTAGAGTCCCATGATAGAGTAGTAGCTGAGAGAAGCATTAAGCATTTGGACATCGTTTCTATTGATAATAGATAATAACAGATACTTAATTTCAGGAAAAAAACACATTTTTTGAAAGTTAGATGCCATTTGTACAGATACTGGTAAAGCACCAATGGTCCTTATCACCTCCCGCTAGACTGAATTCCTGGCATCTGCCGCAGTCGAGGCTGCCTTCTCCAGATGACAGCTTGAGAGTGAATTGGTAGTTGCCTGAGAACAGGTCCTTTGGTTTGTTAGTACAGTGAGACCTTTATGGCTCTAGGAAAGAGGATTGTACACCCTCAATGTAGGTGTTGCAACTATTATTTTACTCGAGTGCGTTTGAGAATTAAGTGTAGAGGCTCTGATTAAATATGCAATCTGAATTTACAATCTCTTCTCTCTTTAACCATTTAGGTTTTGTTTGCCATGACAATGGTGCGACAGTGCTTCAGTATGCACCGAAACTGCAGCTTCTGGTCTCTGGAGGCAGAAAGGGTTTCATCTGTATTTTTGACGTTAGGCAGAGGCAGTTGTTGCATACGTTTCAGGCACACGATTCTGCTATTAAAGCTCTTGCTTTGGACTCCGCAGAGGATTACTTCCTTACAGGTTCAGCAGAGGGGAATATGAAGGTAAGGTTTCACGCAAGGTTTTGATGAAGATAGAATAATGATCAAAATGTGTCAGCTTGGCTCAGCTGGTAGCACTCACATGTCTGGATGCCACACCAGGATTTGCGCTCATAACCTAGCCACATTCTAATGCTGAACTATAGGATTATTGCAGATGCCATTCTTTGAGTAAGGATTTTCAATAAGGGACCGCGTGGTTTTTGTGCTTCAAGCAGATATATATTTTTTAAAAAAGCAATATTTCTGGGAGTAGGGAGTTTTCTCGTTTCCTCTCAGCTAAATTTTGAAAAAAAAAGGCTTACATCTGGGAAATCATCACATTGATGTTTGTGGGTGGTTTGGTGGCACAGATGAATTGTTAGGTTTCCACTCATGAATGCACACTTCATGCCGAAGTAATACACTGTGTAAAGGATTTTCAGACGTTTTGTTGTGACAGGTCAACAAATCAAATGCAAGTGCTCTGCCCTATCTCTTCTAAGGACACTGAAATGATCTCCCAAGTTTCTCTTCGTCGAGAACTAGCAAAATGATCTAAAGTACTGTAGGGCAAAAATGTAATTTTCACTCCCAATTTTTTCCCCATCTGTTCTGACTGTCACATTGATCTATGATATTTGCAGACCAATAGTAGTGCAATCCTGCTGTATGCCATTTGAGAGAATTTGTGGGTAGTAGATGTGAAATAAACTCAGAATTTCTTGTAATATTGCAGGTTTTCATCAAATGCCATATATCAAATGAAGTCCATGATCAGAGTAAAACTCTCCAGCAATGATTCTTCAGCCCACGTTTTTAAGTGTGCCATTAACTTCTCCAGTATGATATCCCACTTCAGACATCCGTTTAACCTGCCTGAGTGTGAATTACTACTTTGAGCAGTGTTGTGCAATGGACTTGCACCCTTTAGGATTAAATAGACTGTGATAGAAGTGGTTTATTCACTATTGGTCCCCGAATTGTTATTTTACCCAACATGTGGAGTGCATTATAAGGTATTTAGTCCATGTAGTTCTGGTGTGCTTGTTACAAGCTAGTGGTCATACAATTTTTTTTCAAAGTTTCATTTTTTTGAGGCTGGACCCTGACATGAGAGATCACTTAAAAATAAATAGAAATACTTCCTCTGGGGTGCCCCCCTTCTGGTCCCCAAAGCTGACTACATATATCTTTCTTTCCTGCATGTGTTATTCAAATAGTATTATTGTTGTTCAAAATATAACAATATTTTTATATTCAAATATGTTTAAAAAGTCACCTGTTTTAAATATATACCATCAAGTACAAACAATAGTGTATAGAATATGTTCTCAAGTTGATGATCAAAATACTTTTTTACAGAAGCAATTAAATTAACAATATTTGAAGTTTTGTGTTGCTTAAAATAATTGAGAAACTAGCACCTTGAATATGGGCCTTACCAGCTACTGAGTTGCAGGTATTATTTGTTCTACATGCTTCTACTTCCCTGACATAGCATTTCTTTGTGTCTGCCTCTCAGGTCTGGAGATTAACTGGTCACGGTTTAATTCATTCCTTCACAAATGAACATGCCAAACAATCTATCTTTCGAAATATTGGAGCAGGAGTCACTCAGTTAGAAATCCAGCCTGCCAATCGCATCTTCTCCTGTGGAGCAGATGGAACAGTGAAGACCCGAGTTTTGCCAGACCATTTTAATATTCCTGCTGGGATATTTGACATCTTGTAGTCGATTGGGCCACAGTCCTTGAGCTAGCTGTTCCTGGATGTTGCCTATTAGAAACCAGCTGCAGCTGCCGATGCATAAGCTGTAGGGGAGTACGCTCTGTTTGGTCAGACTGGGAGGAGCGGGTTGGGATCTGAGAATCAGCTTTGTGCTGAGGTTTTCTGTTACACAGGGTCAGAGTGGGTTTGAAGGATGAAGTGAAAAAAGTAATTTAAAAGCAGTGTTATATGGTTGTGTGGTATAGAGACTTTGAAGATATCCATATATTATATACCCATAGGACAGACTTGCATGTGCGGTTTTATTACTTTTAAAAGCAATGCAGTGGCAGGTTATTGGTAGTGCTCTGTGAACACAATGCAGAATCTTTCAGTGTACTCTTAAGTGTATGGACATTAAAAAGACGTGCACACAGCTAACTCGCCCCCTCCCATCAGCATTGACATAATGAGAATTGCTGTATGTAATGGTAGTGTGAATTGATTTGTAGGACTTGAATTCATTCCACACCCTCGCACTTCGAAATGTATTCAAGTAAACCTTCAGTGTTGACACTGAAGCAGCTGGGTGATCTTTTTCTCAATGCAAACCGTGTTTTCAAATGTTAGATTCACAATCATTCGGATGTACAGTTTATTTGATTTGTCGATGACAATTGATAAGTATTTTGAAACTTGATTTGATCACTCAACCCATGGAACCTATTTTATGTACGTTTTGCACACAGATCTTCAACCTATAAGACCGTTGTCTTTCTATTACAAATAATTTGCCTTTGCATTTGGGAATGTGAAGTGTAGCACAGTATAATTGTGGCATTAAGGACTTTATACTAGAAAGTGAAAGAAACCAGGTGGGGAAATGCTAGTCTCTTCATACGAGGTTGGATCTACCATCATTGTTAATTTATCCAATGAATCTGCAACGTTGCACTCTAAAAGGACGCTATGAAAGTTTTGGTATTTAAAAAGTCAGAATGCAAGTAAATGTGTAAAAGGTTGCATTTTCTTAGCTGAATGTCTGGCTTCATTGGGCCAACACTTTAATACTGTATTATGACAGGGTTTATTTAGTTAGTTTTGACCTGTGATGAATTAACAGCTTGTATACAAGAGCTGTGTATTGTTTGCTATTTTGCCTGTAACCCATAGTTCAAGTTTAATTTATTGTATTTTTATGTTTTCTATATGTATATCTTGCGAACCAATGTGGTAAGTGAAATTTGAGAGCCTTTCTGTGTATTCCCAAGTTATCTGTGAAGTTCTGCTCACCTTTAAAAACCCAATGTCTGTTCTGTAATAAATTCATTGCATTACTTGTGGACTGAAGATAGAGAGTTTACGTCCTGCGCTTGAAACTGTCTAAAAGAATAGCTAGCTCTGTGTCAGTCACACCTTTGTAAGTCAAATAAATTATTTTTAATGTGTGTAGCTAACAGACTGGTGCAGTATCTTTGTTTATTGCTGGAAAATGGATGATCTCTCAATGTACAGCTTTTGAAAATGTTTGGGTACATATTGTGTGCTGATCCAATACGCATTTCAGGTACAGTACTAAATGAAGCTTCTAGACAGTACACTGTTTAATAAGGCTGTCATTAAGCATTTCTCTTCATACAAACTAAACCCAGTTGGAGAGAAGACATTGTGCTTTTAGTAAAGCTATGACAAAGCTCACGAAATGAGCTACGTACAGAATGATTGAATGTTACCAGAGTTACTTTGCAATTGATGCAATGTACGATAATGCACATCAAGAACAAAATTAATGTGAAAGTCTGGAATAAAAATAAATCATATACTGTTGCCACATTAGTGAGAAACACACTCATTCAGTATAAAAACAAATATTTCCAAGAACTGAATAATTCAGATAATTGACTTTATACATTTCATTGACTACTGATTTGTTCTAGTTAAAGCTCTGCCTACTACATTAACTAGATACATTTGTATATCCTTTAGCAGAAAAGATGTAAAAGCACAATTTAACAAATGATGGTTATTGTTAAACTCCACAGTCAAGATAGACTGTCAAATGTGGTACTGTTTTCTGAAGTATTCTACAGTAAAACCTGGGAATAGTGACAATACCCCTGAAAGGCTTTAAAAAGTTGCATAACAAGTAATCCACGATGATTTAAAAATACATGATGTGTTGAAGTAGTTGCACAGCTGATTAAAAAATACAAATACATGTTTAAGCGGATATAAAATGTTCAGATCGTAAAGATTTTTGCAAAATAGCGCTGACGTTTTTCAAAAAATTCATTAATACCATTGTTGAGTATATTAAAAATTAGTGTCTGTCCCAGTTAAACATGTCCTCTGAAATTTAAAAACAGCAGCACCTATGTATCAAGTTGGAATTGCAAACCATATTGCTTTAAGCAGCCACCTTCCCACGTATACAAGTATTGATTTCTTGGGTTATAAGAGAGCATTGCAAGTACCTCGCTTGATGATCTGAAATCAAAACTTACGTCCAGCAGTTTTCTTTTCAGCAAATCAAAAACGCCAACTACTTGCGAGTCTTTTGTATCTGTAATGTAAAGCACTCCCCGTGCGATGAACGCATTGCCAGCCTTTGATTTGGGGTAAGTGGTGTTAATAGTCTGAACAATGGAAAATGACGTTTCATTGATTTGAATTTTGCCGACGGTGATAGTCTCCTCCGAAGTCGAAGCGTAGATTACCCAAAACCCGTTTTCGTCCGCCGCCAAATCGAAATAAGTCTTTGAGTTTTGGAAGAGATAATTGCGACTCTTGTGCAGGGCATTTTCAATCCTCATCCTCTGAGGTGGTGTCCCGTCCAAAGGAAATCTGAAACGCATGTGTTGTCAGACAGCATTTTTGTGCTCGTTACAGTGGCTTTTTAGTTTTTTTTTCTCTCCACTGCCCAAACCCAGCCCCGTCTTATGACATCCTTCTGTTATATATCAAGTGTTGCCACCATCCCCAGCAGTTTGAAACACCAAACAAAGATGATGAGAATTGTTGTTGGCTCCATGACCCCAGTCCTTATCCAGCGCTTAAGGAAACTCGTTTCTCTCACACATTGAGTGGACAGGATTTAACCTCGTTGTTGCACACAAGACTTTTAACTATGGGCATGACCATGTATGGGCTCGGCAAAAAAAAACTTCCAAGATGAATTTTAAACGGCGCATTGGCAGCGAAATCCTTTACATTTGGAGCAATGGAAGTGACGGGACTGAGCAAAGGGACGTTCACTTGCTCGTCTCGCTTCAATAGCTTTTTTTTTTAAAAACATCTGTATTCCACGCAGTGTGATTTTACCGCACCGAATTTAATGCCGTTGTTATCTGCACCACAATTTACAAAGGAATATGATTAACTGATGGCTGAAATGAACATCTGACCACCTTTGACAGTGTGTTTATTGATGATCTTTTTCTATAAAAGAAATCCGCAATATATCTAAAAGCCGTATATTGTACTCACCGTATGATGTTTTCGGATCCACCTTTGTGGTAATAAATTGAGCCATTAAGGACAGCGTGACCACAACCGTGAAAGAAGTACGGCAGTACGATATTCTTCGCCTTACTCCCATTCTTCAGTGCTTCTAAATTCTCATATTCGGATACTGTCAGACCTGCGGTGCGATATAGCATTGCAGAAACATTTAGAAAAACAAGGTTGATGCAATTACAATAACAGCTTGCATTTATATAGCACCCCTCGTGCAGGCTAGATGACTCGTGGAGTCCTGTAGCTCAGTGGTTAGATCTGGGTTCGATTCCCAGCAGGGGGTGAAACCTTGTACAAGTTTCTTCACTCCACAACGTGTCTGATAATAATCCCTCAAAAAAAATAATAAATTGGTCATTTCAATCCACAACTGTTTGCGGGACATGCAAAGGTTCTGCCGACAAACCTGAAAAGTGCTGAACAAGCCAAATTCTGTCATCATTCTTCGCTGCCGAATCTTGCATCCATGCACCAAACGTGTTCGCAGACTTGGTCACATTGCACGGACCATCTGCTAATATTACAATGCGTCCTGTTGGAAAAACATTCATGGACCTGTTGACATCATACAGTAATACTGCAACTCGGCATCAGACAGCAAAATTATAACCTATTTAGCCGTACCAGGTTTCTTGGAGCGAGAGCTCATTGTATTTTTTGCCAATGTCTTTCCTATCACGGTGCTGTCGTTCGGTACGACTTGAGCCTCATCTAAATTTAAACAAACGGAGAAGATTTGCTTTAACAAGGAGAACGGCACTGTGAGCAGATGGATATAATGTCGTGGAGTCCTGTAGCTCAGTGGTTAGAGCACTCGCTTTGCAAGCGAGAGACCCGAGTTCAATTCCAGGCAGAGGGCGAAACCTTGGGCAAGTTTCCTTACTCCACACAGAGCCTAATAATAATCCCTCCAAAAACCAAAAACAATAATAAATTGGTCATTTTCAATCTACGACTGTTTGTGGGACATTGCTGTGCGCAATTGGCTGCCGCGTTCGCCCACAAATATACAGTCAATTCACTTTGCAGTATGTTCTGTGAAGCGCTTTGGGACGTCCTCCCGACGTGAAAAGCGCTACATCAAATGCAAGGATTATTATTATAATGTCACTTAATCTGTGCTATCAAATAAATTGCTGGCACATCAGCTTTGGACAGATGGCAGAGCTCAATGCTAATACGTTACCAGAGCTATCCATACTCTGTTCATCTTGGGGCTTTGATCCTATGGCAGAAGCTCTTGGACCAGGAGCTCCGGGTGGGCCGACTGGCCCTGGGGGGCCGGGGGGACCCATTTCGCCTTTGCTTCCTAATAGAATTGAACGGAAGAAATTATTGCACTTAGTGTAAACCTGTCAAAGCAAGACTTCAGTGGGGGCAGAATCACCAACGGCCCTTGTGTGAAGAAGCACCATCCTATGTGGAGCAAAAGGTCATAGATTTCATGATTTCTCCCTCCTTTTCCCAAGAGGGAAGTTTCCAGGTGCATCAAGGATAGAGGGCTTGCAGGGAATGAGATAAGGCAGGGCAATGGAATTAAATAACCACCTTCCTTTGAGAGTCAATGGGCCGAATGGCTTTTTTCTGTGCTGTAAAGTGCTATGATTCTGCAGCTCCTGTCCCCTCTGATGTAAAATCTATGTAAAAGTGATTTCTTGTGTGCGTAAAAAAAAAAAAACTCTTGCCAATTTACCTTTTAAAATGATCTCATTGTAATTGTCGTCACTTTCACCTTTCGGTCCTTGTTCACCCTTTTTGCCTGGTTTTCCGTCCGCGCCAGGAACTCCTGGCATTCCCACTTCTCCCGGCGTTCCGGGGGCTCCAGGGTCACCTTTCGGCCCGGCTGGAGCTTTAACGTGAACAGGGTAATTTGTTTTTAAAGTGTAATCCATTCTGCTGCTAACCGGCTGTTTGTTCTATTGGACAACGACTGATGCTTGTACGTAAAATAACAACATGCTGGTTTAGGCTGGGAAGATCCCTAGATTTCCTCATAGCGCCCGACTGGTTTTGCAATCTTCATTTGAGAAGGAGGAATAGATCCATTTGGGCTGGTTGGAGCTTGAGGTTTGCCCACCCAATTTAAAAGCAATATGTGTATTGTTATCAGGGTATGACTTGACTGTAACGTTATTTAAGCTGTGATCAAAGTTACTGAAGCTCAGCTACAGCTTATTGGAACTAGCCCAAAGGGTGTGACAAAAAGCAACAAAAACCTGCACTGATGAAGCACCTTTCATGTTTAAAAAGAATTCTCACAAACCCTTGACAGATGTCGTGGTTGATACCGAGCAGGGAAATGTTTTTTTAAAAAAGATGGCTCCAGTGAGGAGAGTAGAATCACATCAGTATATTAACACAACGGAATGGGCTTCTTGTTGTAACCTATCTATGCTGACTCCCTGCTCCAAATGTTACGTTAAAATGACAGATTGCTTCAAAGTGCTACAGGATACAGGCAGCCTCGGCAATCTCTTGAGTAAAGCTTGGAAACTTTTTCTCCGAATAAGAGCTGAATTTGTCTTGGGACACCTCTTGCTCTGTAGAACACCAGGTAAAGATTTCAGCACACGGACTCCTCATCCATTTTGACTGCCCCAGTGAATATTCTCAACCAGTGACTGTCACCTGTGTAACACTTAGCCTCGGAGAGACATGTCTACCTTTTCGCCCTCGCTTGCCGTCCTTTCCCGGTGGTCCTTGAGGCCCAGGAAGTCCATCAGAACCATTGAAGCCCGGAAATCCGATTGAACCTGGAGGGCCTTAAAAGACAGAGCAGTAACACGGTTAAAGTTGTCTGGAAGCAAATCCGACCACCTCGGTTGCTCTAACATACCATGTAAATCATTCATAATTCTTACCAATCGGTCCAGCTATTCCTGGTGCCCCTGTTTTCGAGAGAAAAAGGCAAATTTAGTTACATTTGATTAAAGAGAACTTCAAGGTAACAACACGCCAATTAGCCACTGAATTTGCCTACAAAATGCACTACACCTTACAGTAGATCCTGTGAATCCCTTTGAGATGTCCTCCTGACATGAAAAGGTGCCATATCAAATGCGAGGATTATTATTATTACTATGTAACTCTATGATTGTTTGCATTCCTTCATAAAGAATAGTGTGTAAATAGAAATATATATGAGTTTCTTCTAATTTGGCATTCTGTGTAAAATTGACAGTCTTGTTAGAAACAACAACTTGCAATTAATATAGCGCCCTTCATGCAGGGCAGCGTCTCAGGGGGCTTAACAGTGGCAGAGCCTGTCACTGAGCAAGGAGGGAGGGGAGGAGGTAACCGTAAGCACGGTTGAAGAGGAAGGTCTTCAGTAGTGATCTAAAAGTGGAAGGAGGGGGCAAGATGGGGGGATTGAGGGAGAAAGCACCACAACTTCAGGGAGCCGTGGCTGAAAGCACAGCCGCTGATGGTGGAGAAACATACCTGTTAAGCAAATCCCTTTGGTGCTATTGCACAGGTTGACTAACACTCGGACCTAAACAAAAGCACATACACGGTTTGTAATACAAAGAGCAATGAAATGGACCATCACATAGATACATATTCATGTCCTCTTGGAATGGTGCCTGCTCCAACACATTAGATATTGAAATGTGTTCAGATCGTAAAAAGATTCATATTTAAATATCCACCCACACGAGCCTTGGAAACAATCTTGTCTCTTTACAGAAGCTGCCGTTGTGAGGCAGTTTTGGCAAGAGAGCTAGCGCCTGAGCAGCTGTAACAGCACGTCACCCCCCCCCCCCCCGATTCAGTCTCTGGCTCTGAGCAAAGTTTGCAACTGCAACAACATCTGAAAGACAAAATTCTCTCGTGGTCTTAGCCTTAACCACCGGTCTTCATTTTAAAATCAAGCAGAATTGTGGAAAAGTACTTCAATTTGGTCTTAATTTGGAATCTGGTTTTGCTCCATTGCCAAAGTGGTGAGTGAGAAAGTCTTCCAATCGCAATAGAGAGATGGGTTTGCAGGGGAACTGACGTTTCCTGATCTGGCCCCCAAAACAATTTATAAATTGCATTCTCTCCTCTCCAGTTTCCTTTCTTGCTATAGACTGACATTGCGACACTCTGCTACAGCCATTAGTCAACCTGCAGGCCATCTCCTGAGAGACGATTCTTCAATATCCTTTGATATAATTCAAGATTGGCTGCCACCTTTCACCCACAACAGTCAATTCACTTTGCAGTATATTCTGTGAAGGTCTTTTAGACATGTCAACATGATAAGGCGCTATATCAAATGCAAGGATTATTATTAATATACAAGCCTAAGCAGTGAGAATAATAGCTACATTTTATTGACTTAAATTCTAGCCATGAAAGTTATTCGTAACACAAAAGTTATTCAGATTTACAATAATCATTATCATTACAAATATTATATTATTATTAAAACCACACTTGCATAGCCAGACAATCATCAGAGCAGTGGGATTTCAAGGCTGTGTTCAATTCAACAGATACAACACATATCCAAGCTCTTAAGGAACCCGGCACTTTAATCTGAACATCTCGTAATTTTTCAATCTATTTATAATTTCCAGCTGACTTTTTTAGCTCTTCTTTCCCAAAATAGAGTTGAAACTTCTGCCCGTGTTGTGTTGTCTGTCTGATCTGAACTGTGTCTGCGCTCCTTAACATTTTGTCTAACGCCGTTTGATGTTTGCGGCTGAATTACACCTTTGTCTTATTGTTCCGACCAGATTTCGAGCCCTCGGGAAGATACCTGACAAAGATCCCAAGTCCCTTGAGTTTGAAGTCAGTTTGGCTCAAGTGAAATATGATGATAATAATAATATAATAATTCTTGCATTTGATATAGAACCGTATCACATCATTGAGACATCTCAAAGCGCTTCGCAGAACATACGGTTCAGAGAATCGACTGTATATTTTGTGGGTGAAACGCGGCAGCCAATTGCACACATCAGTGACCCGCAGACAGTCGTTGACTGAGTGACCAAATTATTATTTTTTTGAAGGGATTATTCGCTTTGAGTTTAAGGCTTTGCTTACCGGGACCTTAAAGTAAGTCGTCATCTTGATGAGATCGCTGGACTTTCGCCGAGTCTCTAGTTTGTGTTGGCTTCGCTTATTCCGGAGTTTCTGGTCCAGGGGTGTCTCGATCTCCTGAACCAGGTGGGAGATGACCTCACCTGGCCATGTCTCGCAGAAATCGCCCAGCCGGTTCTCCACCACTTCCAACTGTCTCCTCAAGTTGTTGTATTGCAACAAGAGGAAGATCAGTCCTGCGCAGGTCATCAGGGTGACCACAAACACCCCCAGGAAGAAAGCTCTCTCCTTCACAGAGCTGGTGCGTCCCCTCTGCACAGTCACATTCATTTCAACCAACCTTTCAACCTGTATAAGAGACAGAGAGAGAGAGAGAGAGAGAGAGAGCGAGAGAGAGGGAGCAGAGCAGAGAGTGGGGTGTCCTGTGCTCCTTAATTAACAGGTCAGGGTACAATCAGGCTGAAAAGACCACAGAGAGAGGGAGAGGGAGGACAAAAGAGACTGAATTCTTCGCAGAAATGACGAGTTCAAATCCTATCCCTCTGGTCAGGGAATTCTTTTTTGTGGTGTGTGTGTTGGGAGGGGGAGGTGGTGGTGGTGGTGGTGAGAGTTGACTGGCGTCTATTTTATATGCAGTTGCGTCCTTTGTCGTCAGCTGGCAATGGCCGGAGGCTGCATTTTTTGAGATTTAATCACAACTGCATTCATTCATTTCAGACTCGCTCTTGTGTAATGTGCTGGGGTGGGGCATCGCGAGCAAGAAAACTCCTTCCAGTCCAGTGACAGAAGTCCCTCGGATTAGAGAAGAGCTGTCACTTTCAATCTACAGAACACTTTCATCCCCATATGGTTGAGTTCCACACTTTTGTCATACTGAGACTATAATAATAATTATAATAATAATAATAACAATAATAATAATAATCCTTGCATTGGATATAGCCCCTCATCAAAGCACTTCACAGAATATCTTGTAAAGTGGATTGACTGTGTATTTTGTGGACGGAACAAAATAAAATCAATTACCGAGAGGGAAATCTCAGTTATTTTACCGAGTTCACTTAACGTACAAGAATGATAGAAATAATTCTCTAATAATTGGGTCTAAAATGTGGAATTTCCATGTGCAGGTGAAACTTTTTGTTTGGTTTGGATTGGATGCACTCGCTAATTTGCACACAGCAGTGCATCACAAGCAGCTATGAAGTGAATGACCACTACAATCTAGTGGATTGTTGGCCAGAACACCTGGAGAAAGAAACTCCCTTCACTTTCTTGAATAGCGCCAAAGGGATCTTTAACATCGACCTGAAAAGGCAGATGGGACCTTGGTTTTAACGTCTGATCTGAAGGAAAGTACTTTTCACAAAACAGAGCGCACTCACTACCGGCATTCCATTGGAGTGTCAGCCTGACTATATAAATTCGAAGTCCCCACGTGGGGTTTGAACCCACAATCTTCTGACTCAGGCGAGAGTGCTACTAACAGAGCCGGGCTAACATATTCAGCCTCTGTTGCTGAAAACCCCTTTTGAATCTGAATCACGTAGACCTGAGTAAAGGTTAAGCCTAAATACCCAGTGCCCGTTATGGGCAGACATAATATTATGCGCAGGCAGAAATTTATAGAACTTTTCCAGACTAAACTGTGAAGACAAACGTATATTGAATAGCGATGAACACATCCGTACAACTGAACTTTGTTCTCAAAGATAAGGAAACAGCTGTATTCAATTGTTATTTCAAATCAAATTGCTTTTCACAGTGTAGAGTCATAAGTTCAAGGGAACCTTTTTTGGGTTCGTTTTTTTCTCTCTGTGTGAGTTTGGTCTTGTGGAGGTGAGGAATGTCAACACTGGGAAATGAAAGATTTTCTCAATGTAGAAATCCAGTGTCAGTATTAAACTCTCACAGGTTAGGTGTACAGTGAAGCTCCTAATGCTCTACCCCCAAACAAAAATGCTGCCTCAATCCCAGGCTTGGAACACAGCAGTTCCGAAGCATTTCCAAGTGAGTTTGCCCATCTAGTGTGAAAGGAATAGTTTATTCTTCATCTCAGCTAGAAATCATGGACGGATTAGGATTTTAATATAATATTCCCCATCTTCAGGTCATGCCTGAAGACCCTCCTCTTCGACCGTGCCTCCTGTCACCTCCTCCCATCTCGACATCGTGCTCCAACACTGTCAAGCGCTCTGGGACACTACCGTGCGTAAGGGGTGCTATGTAAACGCAAGTTGTTGTATTCTCAGCTCACCTCCTTTATCCCTATACCTTGCAAGACAGGGAATACATCAAGGGATCGAGGCACCAAAAGTCACTGTGAATCACAGTGCTGATTCCTGCAGATGAACACGTGGTATCACAGTCGCCGTTCTTCCTGTATGAGCCTGGACTAGGAGTGTTTGCAGTTTATCTCGCTATTATTCGAGCAACAGAGGGTATTCAGAACCAAGCCCCATTCTTGTCCTTGCCCACACTCACTATGCCGATGGTTTACTGTTGTGTTTTTTTTTAACCTCGGCAAATACTCAATGAACAATCAAGGCAGAGAAACTGGGAACATAAAAGGGAAGTGTTCCCATCCACACTGCCAATGAAATGACCTGTAGAGTGTTGGCAGTAGCGGTAGCCGTCAGAATCAGCCTGCGGTGATTTTTACAATAAAACGTGGTATGAGCAATTTCAGCAGTCATATCGTCATAGCAGGTAATGCGACTAATGCAACCGCTATCTCTGCACTTACCTTAGAAGCTGCTCTTGAAATAGCCTGAGTGCTCTCTTGTCTTTGTTCATCAGCAGTGAGGCCTGACATGAAATAGAGAAATTAGCCATTAAAGCCCTGCAGAGGTTCTGCACCACGTATCTGCTCATGTGGTCTTGTCACTTTCTGACTTCTGGCGAAGGGAAGGCAATGGATGAAATTCCTGATTGTGCACCGCATGATTGAACGTTTAATTCTATTAAGGAGCATTTGGAACTGAAGTATTTAGTTGTAGCTCACTTGATAACACAAATAAAAGCCTTTAATTGACTGTAGCGAGATGTAAGCTCACAAAGCTAATGCCATATGGGAGAAATATATCGCAGCTGTAAAGGTCATGATAGGAAGAGCTATTACACATGTGCGTCTGTATCTATTACTCTGTTGTTACCATCGATTGAGAGGAAGACAATTTGGCTATAAGGACAATTTGCTACAAATAATTTGAAAAAAGTGAAAATATTCCTTCTATTCTGTGGGATAAAAATTGGTAAATGTTGATGTCAACACTGATGAGATCGCTCCTCTTCGGAAGCAGTTGGGATAATCAGTGGAAATGGAGTCAAGTCTGGCAGCGCGTAAACGAAACCCAATGTGACACGTTTACTTTACGCCGGCGTACCTCACCATCGTGTCCCACTTCCGTTTGATTAACCTTAATTGACAAAGACTCATAACAAAGGCTGTTTATGGGATGTTGCTGTGCCTGTGCAACTGGCAGCCGCGTTTCACCCACAAAATACACGGTCGAGCCACTTTACAGGATACAACAACGGCAACAACAACTTGCATTTATATAGTTACCTTCATGCAGGTTAGCGTCCCAGAGCGCTTTCACAGTGGTGGAGTCTGACAACTATATATAGCATAAATCCTGTGAAACGCTTTGAGACGTCTCAATGACGTGATAAGGCGCTGTATCAAATGCAAAGGATTATTATTATATCATCCGCTGTGCTTACTGTACACCAAACCACTGAATCAAACCATTACCTATTTTTTCTCTCAACACAAAGATTAGGTAAGAAATTGGACGAAAGAAATGGAAAAGAAATGAATGAAACAAAGATAAGTAACCAATAACAGCTTTTAGTTCTGGAGTGTAATATTGTGAAAGATTGCTTTACTTACTGCATACATGTTGAACAAAGCTACTTTTACGTATCGAAGACCAAATATTTTAGTCAGCTGTGATACCGTCTATATACGAAGTAACTTAAACAAGAAAACACAAAGGCGGCGATTTCCTACGAAGCTTCTGTAGCTTAAGGCCAAATCACTCGAGGCATCATTCATTTTAATGAGGGTTGTCTTTTGGAAAGTGACAATACTACACTCTGTTGTGGTCCATCTAATCAATTTTTAAAAAAAATCAATGTGAAAATAATCCTACGCTCTTCTAAGTCTCGCTACATCTCACTCGATTTCATAGCCATCCAAATTTCCTATTGTCGCAACCATGCCCCCAGCTGATACAATCCTGATATAATAATAATCCCTTCCAAAACCAAAAACAATAATAAATTGGTCATTTTCAATCTACGACTGTTTGTGGGACATTGCTGTGCTCAATTGGCTGCCGCGTTCGCCCACAAATATACAGTCAATTCACTTTACAGTGTGTTCTGTGAAGCGCTTTGGGATGTCCTCCCGACGTGAAAAGCGCTATATCAAATGCAAGGATTATTATTGTTATTATTATTATAAGATATCCTTGCTTGGAAAGTCCATTCTACACGCTGATTTAATAAAGTATTAAATCTGAACTGTCTGTTCTCTTTCCTTCTTCTCAGCTTGAGTCTGTGTCTCCTCACTTCAGATTTTTTGAACCATGTTACGTTTTTCTACTGTAAGCGTTTACCTACAGTCACTAACTTGTACACTGGGAAGAGTTTTGAGATGCCCTCCTGATGCGAGAGGTGCTAAACAGCACAACTGCAAGGAAATATTTCCCTTAACTGTCGTTCAGTATATCTATAGCCTTCAGAATGTTGCAGTAAGATTTCTCCTGCTAGGATTGCATGCGACGCGCTCAAAAGTGACATCTTTAACTTAGTGGTTTCTCAACTGCCTCTGATCCATGCAGATCAGTTGATCTGCAGCCTGGCTGTAATTACACCGATTCCCAGTGAAATTTAATTGGAAACCTCCAAACGATAGCGGATGTGCAGACTTCAGTGCCTTGTTCCACACTGAGTGACAGCAAAAGCCATCAATTTAATTGCAAATTGAAACACGCAAAGGTTATGCAAAGGGTTTATACAGATGCACTGGACTTGATCTGCCTTCGGGGTGTAGGTCAATCTTGTAGTGGGTTTGTACTCAGGATCTTCAATGAGCTACAATGTATTAGCAATAAAATGATCAGGGCAATAACCAACCTCTTCATCACATTTATGGTCTGTATATATAAGTAACATAAATACTCCTTGCATTTGATGGAGTGCCTTATCACGTTGTCAAGATGCCTCCAAGTACTTAGCAGGATGTTATTGAAAAGCTTCTGTAAAGTTCGGTGACTGTATTTTGTAGGCAAACGTCACAGCCAATTTACAAGCGCTACAATGTCCCACAAACAGCCATGAAGGGAATGACAACAACAACAAATTCCATTTATACAGCAGCTTTCTCATCAGGGGCACGTCCCAAGGCGTTGGTCTGACCAATTTGGTCACCTGGGGGTTGTTGGCCAGGACCTTCCCTTTGTGAGAAGTGCCTTGGGACATCTTTAACGTCCTCCTGGATAGACAGCCCAACCTCGATTTAACATATCATCCGAAGGACAGACCTTCCAACAACACAGCTCTCCCCCAACACTAGACTGGAGGGTCAGCCTAGACCCGAGTCCAGAGACTCAATGTGGGTGGGTGGGTGAGTGGGGGAACCATTACATTACATGTCTCTGCCGTACAGGAGAAGCAGTTCCTTCTTGCATGTTAATTCACAAACAACTGAAAACACAGATTGCAAAATGTTCCTGTGCTGTGCCTTGCAGTTCAAGAATAAAGAGCTTCATTCATTCTCGTTACAGGGTGGGTCTTGGACAGACCAAGAATACATACTCTATGTGGCATTTTAACAGTGGGAGCAATAGTTCAATTTCAGCCCCCGAACTACTTGGAAATGTAAGTTGAAATGGCAGTAACTCGCTGCCCAGCACAGAGCAGGACAGTCCTGGAGGAATCCCTTAGTGTGAAGGTTGAATGAAGATGAAGCTCAGCTGTGAGACCTGTGCCTCTGATGGTCAGATAAACCCTCCAGGGTTAGCAGAGAGCAACCTGTACCCCTGGAACCACAACCCAACACGAGGAAGCCAGACCAGGGGCAGAGAGTACGTACTCCAGGGAAGAGACAAATTAGAAAATAATTAGACTCACTACATTTATAGAGGGGAGAAATAAGGCTTTGCGTTAATTATCAGAAGAGATTCAATATGATGTTAGTTTTGAATTGCTATTTCATCAATCATATTGAACCAATTCATCGATCTCGGTAATGTTTATTTCGGCCACAAAATACACAGTCAATTTACTTTACAGTATATTCTGTGAAGCACTTTGGGGCGTCTAGAAGATGCTCTATATCAAATGCAGGGATTATTATTATTATTATTATCCTTACAGCCAATTCACTTTACAATATATTCTGTGAAGCGCTTTACATGTCTCAAAGACATTCATAAAGCGCCATATCAACTGCAAGGATTATTACTATTATTGCTCTTGCTATGTTAAAGATGTTCATTTACTAGAGCACTGAGTTTCTCAATCAAATCACAGGCGAGGCAATGGAGCGTCTATTATAACCCGGAACAAACAGTGGAGTGCGTGGACCATATTTACACATGAGCTCCGCTAACTTGCAGCCACACGAACAGCTCAAAAACTTTCAGTAACTCCTCAGAGCAAAGAGCAACCTCTCGGAAAGCATGAAGCACACATTATACATTTTTCGTTTACCAACTAACATTACAGTGAATCCTGCGAAGCGCTTCGAGATGTCCGCCGATCAAATGCAAGGATTATTATTGTTATTAATAATAATACTGGTTTAATGTCTAATTTTGTTTGCCGACAATTGGGGACTTCACAGTGAATGATTCGCAAGGGAAGCAGCTGCATTCCGTGAATAGAAAAATAACTTCATTTATAGACATTTGCATATGTAGCAATCTTTCCGACTCCTCTAATTCTCATCCCACTCTGTTAGTCACATTTTATTGTCAATTGTTGTTCAACACTTAATACATATTAAACAGATCGCAGCCCACACACACACAAGCTTTTACGCACCCACACACCCACACACGCACACACACACACACACACACACAGACTTGGGTTCCCCAAAGTGCCTTTGTATTTTCTCACTAAATAAGTGAACTTTTTTTTTTCCCGGTCAGACGGGTGTCTGACACATGCGGAAACCCATCACCGTGCATAAGAGTATCCGAACCAAACTGAGAATTCCAATGCATGGAAATTCACATGGAAATTCCAGAGACAGATTGCTGGAATGGAATGCGCATCCTCTCCCTGGAGGGACGCATTCTGCTTACCTAATTCCGGTAAGTATTAGGCGCAGGTTGGCAGGAGCCAAAGTTTGGGGAGTTAAAATAAGTGAAGGTTCCTTAATAATAATAATAATAATAATAATAATATAATCCTTGCATTTGATATAGCGCTTTTCACGTCTTCTAGACGTCCCAAAGCGCTTCACAGAATATACTGTAAAGTGAATTGACTGTATATTTGTGGGCGAACGCGGCAGCCAATTGTGCACAGCAGTGTCCCACAAACAGTCGTGGATTGAAGTGACCAATTTTTTTTTTTCTTGAGGGTTTATTATTAGGCGTGTGGCGTAAGCAAATTTGCCCAAGGTTTCACCCTGTCTGGGAATCAAACCCAGGCCTCTCGCTTGAGAGGCGAGTGCTCACCACTGAGCTACAGGACTCCACAAATATTCTAAAGAATTCTAAAACAGGCACAAAAAAAAGATCTTTTCTTTATCCCAAAAGTCG